ACTTTTTTTTACAAGTTGTATAGGTAAATTAGATAAGAAATTTGTTGACCTTAGATAAACATATCAATATATATATATATATATATCGAATGACAATTTTCATTTAGAGACACATGTTAAAAACACTTATATCTTAAATAATAAAGAAACAAAATATTAAATAACACATTAAATCTTTTTAACTTTGCATATATATAGGATCAAGATTTATATTTAATTTGAAAGGTAAGTGATTAAATTTTATTGCATATATATATATATAGGTGTACAAGTAATACACATTTTTATTACTGATATCTTATTCTATTTTATATAAAATAACGTCACATGCAATCATTAATTTTTGGTGTTGGCCTTAGCCTCGGCCTCTTTGAAAGCTTTGGCTTTCGCCGCGCTTCCACAACATTTGCATCCTCCGTTGTACTTTCCGCAGCAGCCGTAATTGCATCCTCCACCGCTATGTCCACCGCCATGTCCACCACCACCTCCTCCACCACCTCCACCTTGGCCCCCACCATAGCTGCCTTTACCACCACTCCCACCTTGTCCTCCACCGCCTTGGCTGCCGCCACCGCCACCGCCGCCGCTGCCTTGGCCACTGCCGCTACCATAGCTACCACCACCACCATTGCCTTGGCCACCACCATTACCATAGCTACCTCCACTATCTTGGCCACTGCCGGCGCCGCCACCACCACCGCTACCTTCACCGCCATGTCCCGAATCAAAGCCTCCGCTGCCTATGAAGTGCGCCGGCTGTGCTTCATTTTCTACATTCACGAAAATTCACAATTATCAAAACAACCCTAGATATATAATTGTCATAGAACATATATACTCCAAAATTCTTCATTGTCTTCTTCAAAAGTACAAATCAAAAAACAAAATTACATTAAACCCTAGATACGAAATCTAACACATGCTAATCAAAATCTGAATTTGCTAATAATCGATCATCACCAGCTAATTCCCGGGGGCAACAATAACCTTTGCAGCGTCCGTACTGGTCGTGGAAGCAGCAATACTGGCCCGGGCAGTTACCTGCATCACCTGCACAAGATTTTAAAAGTGCAGGGACATATATATATATATATACACACACAGACAGAATCAGACGAACGGCGTCGTTTTGATGAATTATTATTGAATAACGAAGAGGGTAAGTATACCTTGAGTGAGTTCGGCGGTTGCAGCCGAAGAGAGGAGAAGGAGAAAGGCATAGAGCGTAAAGCTTCTGGACATCATTTTGGATATATATATATATATATAGCTTGGAGAAATTAAGTTAAGGATAATGAGGCATCAATGGCGGGGGTGTAGTGTATTTATAGGGAGAATGCATGGATTCGAAAAGAATTAATTAATAGAATCCTTTCTTCAAGTTTTTCTTAGGTTGTATTATTAATATAATGGATGATTGAATGCGTTTGTCTTTGTTTTAGGGCTGATTCAATTAATTTTAATTGGCTTTCCAATTTAATTTAGGGTTTCTTGTTTTTTTCACAAATCAAAATGAATGCTATTCAGCTAATTCATACAGTTCTAGATAAAAGTAAATTACTCGTTTCCTCAATTTGTTTGCTTTTTTCTTTTTTTTTTTCTTTTACATAGATTTATTTAATATTGCTATTTATATTTATATACTTCACTCTTAAAAGTATATCTATTTGACGGGACGAGTTTTAAATATATATATAAATAAAAAAAAAATTTATAGTAAAGAAAAAGTTAATATTTTCTTTACTGGAGAGATAAACAAAGATATGTTTAAATGACAAAAAAAAGTTAGACATAAATTTGGATAACTCCGGATGCATAATACAAATCAATAGAAAAAAGATAAAAAATATTATTATTAATTAGTATTGTATAATATAAATATAATGACATTTGAATAATATATTATAAATTGTAAAAATATTTATAATGTTAAATAGATGGTATAATTACTAAAAGAATAAGATAAATATTTTTTTTTTTTTAATAAGCAAAATGAAAAAATTTGATATTTTCTTTGTTGTGAGATTTGATGGTTATCATTGATCTCTATGAACTCTACTGATAAGAATATTTTTGCTATAAGGAATAAATGATATTCCTTCATAATATGTTTGCTATAAAGCAATAAATGATATTAATTAGGGAATTAAATAATATTTTATCTTTCATTTAATTGTTTCCTCATTTGACCGGATATGAATTTTAAAAATAGATATAAAAATTGGTGGGAATTACTGTTTGCACATATATGATTAATGACTGCATTTCTCTAATTAAGCTTTTGGGTGAGATCGGTTATTGAGTATCCGATATGGTATTAAGAGTCTTGGTTAAGGCCGTTTGGATTGGCTTCTGACAGGAGCTTTTAGCTTCTACTTCTAAAAAAAGCAGTTTACACCATTGACTTATGTCCAAAAGCAGAAGCAGTTTTTGAAGTTGAAAAGTGCTTTTTTCAGAAGCACATTGAAATAAACAGAAGTACTTTTCAGTTAAAATTATTGTTTTATCTTTAATAATAATAAGAAGAAATACAATAATATAATATAATATAAAAATAAAGATATTTTAATACAAATTAAAAAATATAATTAATTTATTAATTTTAATTTATGTACTATATTTGGATTAAAATTAAAATTTAAATACCGAATGTAAATAGGAATATATAAATTTTTTAATTATACTTTATAAAATTTTAAAATAAATTATAAAATACAAATTATATAATATTATACTGTAATTTTATGTTTAATTGATATATTATTCTTAAATTAAAATTTTAAAATATAAATAATCAAAATTTAAAAGTATACTTTTTATACTTTAATTTAAAATATTTAAATATAATTTATAAAATTTAAATTAAATTATAAAAGTGTTATAGAAAAATACTAGTATTATATTAACCGCATGTCCTTTTAATAAATTTTAATAGTTTAAAAGCAATTTCAACTATATAACGTCCAAATAACTTTTTACGAAAAACTGCTTTTATAATGATTTATCCAAACACAAAATCGAACTGCTTCTGCTTTTGACTTCTACTTATTTTTTTAAGCTAATCCAAACAGGCCATAAGTCTCTAGCATATGATAGAAATTTTTACTTTTGTTTAGATAAAATAAAAGGAGAAAAAAATTGAATGACGAGTATGTATGAATCTCCATAAATAGCTAGCTTGATATATATATATATATATAGTTGAACAGTTGACATTTCTCATATATTTATAGAATTTCTTTTTTCTAATGTAAAAAACAGCTGTTTTGACTTTTGTTTCTACAATATCCCATTTATAATAAAAATATTTGTTTATATGCTAAAAATATATAAATGAATATTTTTCATTCTAAATATAATATATATATATATATATATATATTATATAAGTGAAGATATCCTCAATTAATTAAAAAGACATATACACATGCACACATCTATTATATTTAAACGTATTCATATATAGCATGCTCTGGAATGTTGGGAAGATAGATATCCATTTTCTAACATATACAAATTTATAAATAGAACTTGCAAGAAAAAGGATTTATTTATTCATGTTCTATTTTCCATATTTGTATAATAATTAATATACATATAGCTCACATTGTATTATTTATAATTTTTTAATAAAAATTACATTATTTAATTTTATAAGATATTAAAAAAAAAAAAAAATTACTTCATCCAAACAATATTATTTGCATAAATCTCAATAATTTTATTTTATTTTATTTTAAAAAAAAAAAAAACTTATTCTGTTGATGGCATTTGAAATCAAGGAGATGCCTTTACTTGTAAAATGTAATATTTGGTTTCACTCATCTAAAATTTATTTTTAAAAAACGTATCAAATTAAATACTTATTTTATTTATTTATTATATTACATTAAAATATAATTTTACCTTTAAAATATCACATTAATACATATTTATTTTATATCAAACAAACTATTTTAACTCAAAATTTTACTATTCAAAGTAAAAAATCAAATAGTTAGTTTCATATAAAAGATTGCATGTAATATTTAATACTCCATTAGTCAGATAAAAATAATTTATTTCCGTTCACCATGAAAATTAAATATATATATATATATATTTTATTGAAAATAAAAAATAAATTATATCATTATCCTTATATTTCAGTAAAACTATGCAAATATCCCATGTTTAAATTATGAAGTAGATTGTGGAGAAACTCTTATATGAGTATATTGGATGCAGATGGTCTGTTCTGTTTGTTTAAAGATTTTTAAGAAAATTTTTACTAGTTATTAAAAATTTTCATATAAAAAAATTAATTAAATATCTTGTTTATTATTATTTATATTATACTTAAAATATAATTTTATAATTAAAGTGTCGTATCAATATATAAAACAAATTCATGCTAATTAACTAATTATAATACACATTATATAATAAAGTATAAATAATGGATATAATGCCATAACAAGCAAAGTGTCGCTTTGGCCGAGTGGTTAAGGCGTGTGCCTGCTAAGTACATGGGGTTTCCCCGCGAGAGTTCGAATCTCTCAGGCGACGGTTAGTTTTCATTTTTTGTCACGTGTCGGCTGGTTACAATCACTTTCAACCGGGGAATTTTGGGTAAAAATGAAAACAACTGCTCTTTAGATTTGTAATGCGATTATATTTATTAAAATGGTGTTCAAAACAAACTTAGTCAAGTATTCAGTTCATGATTTTATAATATATTCTCTACCACTACAAAATCATTTGAATATTAATTTATATTTAATCCTATTCTATTTAATTATTAAAAATAATATTAAGATCATTTTATCAAAATCATAAAAATGACACATTAGTTTATGGAAGTAAAATACGGGCTATATAAATCATCACATAAGAAACTGGGTCTGCCGAATTTTACCGTTGAGACTGAGAGTAGTAAAAATAAATAAATACAGTACATGATTTAAATAATTTGATATAAATAATAAATAAATAAATAAAAATGGAAGGAAACAGACCTTTGTATGACTGACTATTTGGTGTAAAGCGATGGGCAAAACCCTTTTCCGACTCCGACTTCGATATTCAGAATGGAGCGTTGCGCTGCTGGAAGCATCTCGAACCTTTCTTTGATCCTTCCAAACCCGATCGCTTCGAAGCAAATGCAATCGATTATCCACTGCAAAGCTCACTTCCCTTGTTCTACCAACCAAACTTGCTTCGGCTCAGGTAATTCCTCTTCTTTTCTTGTCTTCTCCATTTTTATTTTTTATTTTTTTTGCACAGGTGATGGCAGTGGATCTTAGCTTTCAGCGTTGAAGATGTTTCTAAAATGTTTTAAGAATGATGTTCTAGTGACGTTTAATTTTATAGCTTCGTATTTCAATTCCTGACTCACTTCGGCTTAAGATTTCTAACTTACATTTTCTTTGTTTTTCTGATTGCTGATCCATTTTGGCGATGAGATTAGGGTTGAACTACTATGTTAAGTTTGCTCAGAGGCCTTCAACATCTGTCAAATCCTCGCCGTATACCAATGATAAATCTAAACTAGATGGTGTTGAGAGCGTGAATGATACTCACCTAAATGATAAGAAGGCAGACTTTGACATTCAGCCAACTGAAGATCAGCAGGAAGGAGCATTTGGAAATATTTCGGCACCATTATTGAAGTTTCTTGAGGGTTTTGATATAAAGGTACTTTTCTTAATCCTTCCCGTTTGATGTGTCATAGGTTTTTTTTTTTGGTTATTATGTTTGGATTCTCAGAGATCCTCACAATGAATGGTTATATACGTTGTGATAGAAATGTCACAATTTGGAAAGATATACAATGATTTAATTCATTAGTGTCAATTGTGCTCATTTGTCATATTGGTTGTGAAGCAAAATTGTTCAGTTTTACTACACTTTTTTTTGTTTAAATCTTCAAATGTGTTGTGATGTCAATGAGCTCAGAATGCCTTTTCGATACTTCTGTTTGTTTTGAATCTTAAATGTTCATACACAGTAGTGGCTCAGTTGTGAGCTGAGTATGATGAATGTTTCATAAAAAAGCCGGAGGTATGTATACATGAATAGAAACCCGCAGTGTAATATAGTTTATTATTACAGACGATCTAGCATGTTTGAAAGACCATAAATGGCGGAACTGTGTTGTTCAAGAATATCGCTTCAATTCATCTTTAGAAAGTGCTGTTTATTCTTCAATGTCAGATCTCATAGATTCTGTTTTCCAGCTTAGCTACGAGGAACTCTATCCCATTGTTGCTTATGGTGGCGGAGGCCTTGTTGCACTTTGGCTGGCTGCTTCTATCCTTGATGCTATCGAATCTATTCCGCTGGTGAGTCTCTCGTTGTTAGTTAAAAAAAATATCCCTATTCACTAACTACAAACCACTGAAATTGATTTCACCTTGATCAAACTCAGTTCCCAAAAGTGTTGGAACTTGTCGGTCTTGGCTTCACTATTTGGTTCAGCTCCCGGTTTTTAATTTTCAAGGTTGGAATCCCTCTTATCCCTTGCAGAAACTCGCCTGCTGCCTTTTTGCTCCAATCTGAATCAGTTGATTTTTGTTTCAGGAAAATAGGGATGAATTGATCGGTAGAATCGAACATGTTAAGAAGCAGATGCTTGGCTCAGAGGATGATTAGTGGTACGATTGCTTAATACCAATTTCCAAACTTTTAACAGTCTGATAGATTTCCTAACATCGGCTTGCTGTCCATCTTCATCAAGAAGCCTGATTTAGTTTGTTTTTTTGCCTTGACAGGCCGCATGACATGAACTATTTTGTGTGGTTCGTATGTCCTAAATCTAGCTTGTCGTTGTTGCTACTTAGTTCAACATACGATTGGATATAACATACATTCATCTTGGAATTGTCTAAGTTTTGTGACTTAAATTTTAGCATTTGTAAGTGAAGCAACATTTGATCCTATAAAACGATGAACAGCCAATGGTTTGAAACATAAGCTCCGTTTGGACAGATGTTTTGAAAAATTATGATAATTGTAGGTATTTCATGCGATGTTTTATAAGAGAAAAAATTAATCGATTTAAGCTTTTGAAATAAAAGTTTTGGTGAAAATAAAGCATGTGTTGTGGTCCTTGTGGATTGTCGATCCCTTCTTAGTTATGTGTTGTTATTTATCTCTTTGGTATTTTGTTTTTGAAAATTTAATAAATTTATTTATAGATATGTGATGTAACTAACAATCCCTTTTTAGATGGCTGATTGATTTAATCTAGGGTGATAGATTAATAACCAGACATTTGGCAATAAGATGCATTCGTTTTTTAGAGTATGTCGTAACAATTTTGAACTTATATATATTTGTTCTGATGGATCTGCAAATATCATGATGCATCAACCAAAATTCTTATACCAACAAATGGATATACTTGTATTGTTGCTTAAAACTGTTCGAATGTTCTTATTTGTGGCTGTACCATTGATATGCACAAAAGGTTGTACGTAAAAGTAAAACAAGACCTTAATATGTTCATACACTTCTACCATCTTCCTTTTGACAATTGGAGCTATATATATATATATATAAAAAAAAAAAAAAAAAAAAAAAAAAAAAAAAAAGAAGAAGAAGAAGAAAAAACACAAACAAAATCAATATAGATGTTCAAATTATGTAACTAATTTCAGTTTTTTTTAAAAAAAAATAAAAAATTATTAATGTAAAAGCTAACATTAAAACTATATTTAATAGCATTATAAATTATTACAAAAATTAATATTTTACTGAATTATCTAATTACGGTATATAGGATTAAGTAATTAAAAAATATAAATGAAATTATGTGGGACAAATTTGAATAATAGTATTTTTTTATTTGAAATAAGAAATAATAATAATAAAAATACCCTAATTTAGCCGAAAAAGGATCAAACCACTTCAAAATACGGACTATATAGTTAAATTGATCTATTTAAGCTGATAGTACTTTTCCTTTTGTCCTGTAAATATTTATTATTTATATTTTTATTTCATTAAAAAAATATTTTTTTATTATAATAAAATAAAAAATATTTTAATATTAAAATATCTTTAATTTTTATATAAATTACCAACAGTCAAAACACATTATTAGATATATAGATAAAATGCAAAAGACGAATATTAATATTATTATATCATATTTTTACTATATTATTTTTTACAATATATTATAAAAATATTATTTTTTTTAGTATAACCCAATTCTCTTGTAAAATGGGTTGAAGTGGGCTAATACAACAATCACCCATTTTTGGGTTTATTTCGTTACCTATTCAAATTATAATTGAAAATAAATTTACATGAAACATATTTAATTAATATTTTATTTATACTAGAATAATATATAAATTTATTTAATTTTAAAATTATATATAATAAAATATATACATCAATATTATTTTTTAAAAAAATTATATAATATAAATAAAAATATATATTTATAAAAATTAATATATCTTAAGTTTATAATTATAAAATTTTAGATGTATATAATTATATTTATTTATTAAAAAAATAATTTTTTTTAAAATATATCGCATGTTAAAAAAGAAAAAGTCAATTTAACACAATCTTAAATTTTCTTTTTTTCTAATATTTATTTTAAATATATTGGAATAGCGGTAGAGTTATTTACAGTTTGCTCCTTGCAGTATACTGTTATTTCAATCGAAGACCAAATTTTGAAATAGAAATGTCTGAAAAGGAAAGAATAGAGTAACGGTCCTGAGATTTCAAAGTTCAAACGCTGCAGCGCTCTCTGCCTCTCCGTCTCCATTTCTTTCCTTTCTTTCTACTCTGCAATATTTCTTCCGTTTCTCACACCCAAAGCTTCAACTTTAATGGAGAAAATCAGTTTTAACCCGTACATGCTCAACTCAGAAGCCCCTATTCTTTGCCCACGCGCCTCTTCTTCTTCGAGTGTTGATGGGGAAATGCCGAGAAATGAGGATCAAGAAACTCACGTTTTGCCCTTGGCGGAAGATGGAAACGAAGATTCATTAGCTGATTCGATGGTTTGTTATTCTGGTTTGAGATTAGTCACCACTGGCTTCACAAATCCTAGCTGTACAGGTTTGTCTCTTCGAGTATTGAATCGAATTTTTGAATTGAAAATAGTCGGTTCTTTTTGCGATGTTATTTTCATTTTGAAGTGTTCTTGTCGAAATTATGTTATTCAAACCTAAACCCTAATTTTTCGTTAGAAATTAATCCAAGAAAATGGTGCTGTGAACTAAATTCTGAACCTCGGGTATTCGATTAGATGATAGTTAGAGTTTATAGGTTCGCTAATAAAGCTAAAGTTTGGTGAATACTTTACGAAAATTTAAAATGGTTTTAGCTTGAACATTCTTATGAGATCCTTCGATTCTGTATTAACCATTCTATTTGTTGAGATGATTGTGGTTTTGGAAAAGAAGATGATTTGGTGTTTGTTTCTTTACTTTGAGAATTCCCACTAAAGAAACTTAATTGTTGAATCTTTGATTGTAACCCTTGCTTCCTTGATTCAGATGAAATTCTTCATTTTGTCAACGCTGGAGCAATATCCCCTGTTGCATCGGAATCCGGAATTAACTTTCTGGAAGACAAATATTTTGAAGGTGGAGATGCATTTCAAACAGAGGAATTCATAACTGATGGTGGAGATGCTCCATTCATTTACCAGTCGGCGCGATTAGGAGATTTCTGCTATCGCATAGACGATCTCCACCCCGGAGACTATATTGTCGATCTTCACTTTGCGGAAATAATCAACACATTCGGGCCGAAAGGGATGCGAGTGTTTAATGTGTATCTGCAGGATGAAAAGGTCAGACATTATATACTCTTGTTTATAGTCGATACTCCTAAATACTATCTCTTGTTGTTTATTAACATTTAAAAAGCTTTGATGATGCAGATATTATCCGATCTTGATATATTCTCGATTGTTGGATCCAACAAACCTTTGCAATTGGTCGGTGCCAGAGTTTCGATCAAACAAGATGGTGTTCTTGTTTTAAGGTTTGAAGGGATTATTGGAAGCCCGATACTTAGTGGAATCTGTGTTCGAAGACCTACCAAGATGTTGGGTATCTTTCCTTCCCCGGTTAAAGTTTCTTCAACTCGACATGGTGCTTTAGATTGATTTTTTGTAATTTGTGGTTTTTCGTTGCAGCACCTCAGGTGAATCAGGAACATTTTGTCTGTAAGAACTGTTCTACAGAGATGGAGTATCCTTCAGCTCAGGTATGTATGGTTAAACACTTGGCTTAAATTTGACCAGTTTCTGGGGTCGTGATATCTTATGAATTTTTCGATATTTCAGAAAAAAGTGCTGAGAACAAAATTGGTAGATAAATATGAGAAAAACATACAAGACTTGAAAGATCTGTTGCAGAGGAAGACAGACGAGTGCTATCAATCATGGATGTCTTGGACTTCTGCTAATGAGCAGCTGCAGAAGGTCAGGATGGAACTCGACAACAAAACTTTCCAAACATATTCCCTTGGTAAGCTTTAGAGTTAGAAATGACAGAGTTCTTTTAGTCACTCATTTACCATAGATTCACATATTGTACTTTATTCCACACACCTTTCTTTTTGGTAATTGTTTCTATTGATGTATACACACTTTTGCAATCTGTTAGTTTAAGTTTCAATAAGTTCCTTGATGCTCAAATCATACAGATCAAGCTCTAGGAAAACAACGCGACGAACTGAAAAATATATCAAGCAAGTATCATCGTGAACAAAAGTTGTGGACAGCAGCAATCAACAATTTAGAGCAGAAAGTAAAGGTTGATATCACGTTGCCGGACTGAAACTTTTTGCTTACATAACTCTTGTACAATGAATTTCATAAGTTGAAATGGTATGTGTGTGCAGGGAATGAAAAGGGATCACTCTCAGCTTTCTCAGGAAGCACATGAATGCGTCGCCTCCATTCCTGACTTGACTAAAATGGTATCAGCTGTTCAGACACTCGGTGAGCTTGTGCCAATGATGTCCGTTTTAGTATGCATACAACAAACTATATGTAATCTCGAATCTCTGATGCAGTTGAACAGTGTGAGGATCTCAAATTGAAATACAATGAGGAGCAAGTGAAAAGACGGAAGCTATTTAATGAAGTTCAGGAAGCCAAAGGTTTGTGTATGATTGTCGTATTGTGTTTGATTTTATTTGGGATGCCTTTCCCTCCATCTTATAAAATTCAAACCTGAAATCTGTATCAGGAAACATCAGGGTGTTTTGCCGGTGTCGTCCACTGAGCAAGCGTGAGGTCGGGGCAGGCTGTGACTCTGTGGTGGATTTCGATGCAGCCAAGGATGGAGAGCTAGGAATTCTGAACAATGGCTCTACAAAAAGGACTTTCAAATTTGACCGTGTTTACACACCAAAAGATGATCAAGGTCCTTCGAACAATTCTTGCATTTATATAGCAGCATTTATCCATTTTGTTCTTAACTTACATTTTGTAGTCCCATTGAACAGTTGATGTGTTTGCTGATGCCGCACCAATGGTGGTATCAGTGCTGGATGGATACAATGTTTGTATATTTGCTTACGGACAAACCGGAACAGGCAAGACGTTCACGATGGAGGGCTCTGAGGCGAATAGGGGAGTCAATTACCGGACAGTGGAAGAATTATTCAAAATATCCAAGGAGCGGAGTGATAGTCACAAGTATGACATTTCTGTCAGTGTGCTTGAAGTCTACAACGAACAGATACGGGACTTGCTCGCTGTAGAGACCTCCAAGAAGTAATTTGTTTCTTAAAATCATCTTAACTACACGTTCGAATGAAATAGCTGACATTCTGTCGAATATTTCCAGGTTGGAGATAAAACAAGCTTCAGAAGGATGCCATCATATTCCTGGAATTGTCGAAGCCAAAGTGGAAAACATTCAGCAAGTATGGAATGTTCTTCAGGCAGGAAGCAGCGCCCGATCCGTTGGATCAAATAATGTGAATGAGCACAGTAGTCGATCTCACTGGTAAGTAGTAACATCTGCTACAATATCTGTACTTATGGTTCTTTGAGTCATGATATATATATATATGCATGTATATATCAGCATGCTTTGCATTATGGTAAGAGCAAAGAACTTGATCACCGGAGATTGCACCAGAAGCAAGCTTTGGCTTGTGGATTTAGCCGGAAGCGAGAGGCTTGCGAAGACGGATGTGCAAGGAGACCGTCTTAAAGAGGCTCAGAATATCAATAGATCGCTCTCAGCTCTTGGAGATGTGATATCTGCTCTAGCAAATAAAAGTAGCCACATACCATACAGGTTTGTTTGTTCTAATCATCGATCATTACTGTGTGTTGCATATGATTCAATGTAGCCTTAACTTCGTCGTTTGATGGATTGTTCTACTTTCAGGAACTCCAAATTAACTCATCTACTACAGGACTCATTAGGTAGACGATCTTCCATCTAATTTATTTGAGACTATAGAATTTTTCATACTTAGATAGCCGGCATGTATTTCATGTTTTTGCAGGTGGTGACTCGAAAACATTAATGTTTGTGCAAATCAGTCCTTCCGATCAAGACTTGAGCGAAACACTGAGTTCATTAAACTTTGCAACCCGAGTCAGAGGAGTTGAATTAGGCCCTGCTAGAAAACAGATCGATACAAGTGAGATTCAAAGGACAAAGACATTGGTAAGTCCTGTTATCCTTTGGCCAGTATTTTCAAATATCTAGAGCTTGTGTGAAAATTCACTCTTTGGTATCTGTCTTAAAAAGCTCGACAAGGCGAGGCAGGAATTGAGGTTGAAAGATGAATCCATGAAAAGGCTTGAAGAGAGCTTGCATAATCTAGAAAGCAAGGCCAAAGGGAAGGATCAGATTTACAAAAACCAACTCGATAAAATAAAGGAGCTTGAAGGCCAACTCGAACAAAAATCTTCGGTGTATGGTCAAACCGAGAAGCAGATTCTACATCTTTCAGAGAAATTGAAAGGGAAGGAAGAATGTTGCTCCAAGCTTCAACAGAAGGTATGCACACAATCATACTGAAACAATCAGGCGAGAGCCCCTTATATGGCAAGCCATCTAAGGATCTGTTCTTGTATTTTTGGAAGGTAATTGAACTAGAGAACATGCTCAAACAGCAAGAAGAACTTCAAACGACGACTTACAAAAAGAAGGTTGTTACTTAATTCATTCTGCAATTTCTAATTCTTCACAAAAGATGAATATTTTGGCCTAGACATGAAGGGATTAACAATGTATGTGGTATTGTGTCGAGCAGATTAGTGATCTCGAAAGCCAGCTTAAGGAGCAAGCCGAACAGTCGGAATACAGCTCTCTAACTCTCCAACGACAGGTTTTCATTAACTTTCTGTTACCGTATGATTATGGAAACACATAACAGCTGTATGTAAACCATTTCATGTCTTTAGGTGAAAGAGCTCGAAAGAAGGTTGAAAGAACACGAAGAAAATGAAGAGGTGAAGTCTCTTCGCCAAAAGGTAATTTTTCCTATGCTCACAAGCAAGCCCCCCCTTATCAGACAAGACAATCTTCCCCACTTACAAAAGCTTATGAAGACATGTTTTCATGGCTGCTATGACAGATTTCCGAACTTGAAGACAAGCTGAGAGAGCAAGAAACACAACTCGTCTCAACAATAACAACCACAGACTCTACATATTCGTTGAAATCATCAACCCCCATGGAAGGAAAGAAGTCGTCAAAAGAGGAGCTGGCGAATGAGTCCGAGCACCGTATCCTCAGAAGTTCAAATTCAGTAAATCGCCAAATTAACCATGTCCCGGTTTCATTAAAGGAGCACGAGGCAGGGAGGAAGAAGAGATTTTCGAGCAGCAATGAAGTCGAGAACAAAGCTGTAGTTCCAACTCCAGTGAGCAACAACAGAGGAAGCAGACATTCGGATCCACCTAAGCCGGGCCCTCCCAGAGTCTCGAGAACTTACAAGCCGGCACTCGCTGCACCAAAACAGCCGGTGGTTCGGAGCAAAGTCAACCGCGACCATCCGGAAAATGGAATCAAAGAAAGGGAAAGCAAGAAAAGGATGTGGACAAGGTAAGTAAGTATTTGAATTGAAACATAAGTGATTTCGTGCTGCATATGTTATGTATTCTTCTTCAACTTTTAACTAACTTGATTTGTTGTACTCTGTGATTTCTATATGACCTTTGTTTGAATGAATGTTAACCTTTCTTTAGTACAAATTATTCCAAACAAACACAACATTCTACGGAATTAAACAGTAAAATATGCGTGCACGCCCATCATTTAACATTATATATATATATCAAATGAATACAAATTTTATTATACGACAATGTGTAGCCGGCCAAGAATAGCCCAAATGATCGATATATGGTGACGCACCCCAATATATATCCTTGATTAATTAGTGAGGTTTCAAAGAATCGGCGATGTTGATGACAAATCGATACTTGACATCAGAGTTGAGGAGACGTTGCATGGCCGTGTTCACATACTCCATCGGGATCATTTCCACATCAGGCAATATGTTGTGCTTTGCTGCAAAATCGATCATTTCTTGTGTCTCTTTCAGTCCTCCCGTTGCACTTCCAACAATTGATTTTCGACCTATTGATCATATCATGTGTTGTTAGTTATTTGGATTATATATAACTTTATTGATCAATCGATATCTAATTACAATAGAAAACAATTATAATTACAGAAAAAGAAACTGAGTTGAAATGCATATATAGATACTTGCCAATGAGCAATGGGAAAATAGGTATTTCTAAGCCATGTGGAAGGCCAACCAATATAAGCTTAGCTTCGGGTTTCAATAACTCGACCAACGGTAAAAGAGAGTGTGTTGCAGAAACTGTATCAATTATGCCATCCAATTTACTTCTTGCGCTCTACACATATAAAAATTAAAAATATTTTGATATTAGTGCAGCATAATCACTTTACTACTGTTTTAGAAAATATATAGATTAGTTGTGCATTAACTTACTTGCATTTGGTTTGTATCGGTGCTGACAAGAAAATCATCGGCACCGAGCTTTTCAATGGCCTCTTCCTTCTTACTAGGCGATGTACTAACAACAGTCACTCGACATCCAAATGCCTTGGCGAATTTGACGGCAAGGTGGCCGAGCCCACCGAGGCCAACAATGCCAATTCTCAATCCCGCGCGGTCTAGCTCAAAGTATTTCAAAGGGCTATAAGTTGTGATCCCGGCGCATAAGAGGGGTGCGCCGATGTCAAGGGGGAAGTTTTCCGGCCAACGGATGACAAAGTGCTCGTCGGCCACCATTATGTCGGAGTAGCCTCCATACGTTATGGTTCCGTCGTAGTAAGGCATGCTATAGGTAAGGATTTGTTTGGCGCAATAGTTCTCGAGATTTCTATTACACATGTCGCATTGGTGGCACGACCCGACCAGGCACCCCACGCCTACCTTGTCCCCGCACTTGAATTTTGTCACCTTGTCGCCAACTTCGGTTACTGTCCCGACAATCTCGTGCCTAAACAAATTATCATTTTATCTAAAAGTTTGTCTTTCTTAAATCGAAAAACAAATAAAATAAAATTAGATTACCCGGGAACAATGGGGTATTGGGTGAATCCCAACTCGTTCTTGGCCATATGAAGGTCTGAATGGCAAACACCACAGTATAGAATCTTGATTTGGACATCATGCTCGCCAGTTGCCCTAATTAATTATTTAATTCGTTAATACACCATACATATATGCAACTTAATTATGTATATATAAATTTATTTGAGAATATATGTAATTAGAGTATAAATTGTACCTTCTGGAGAAGTTGAAAGGATAGAAAAGGCCAGAGGTGTCTTTAGCAGCCCATCCGTAAGCCTTCACAGGATGCTCTCTTTCTGCCATTAAATATTAATATTAATTAATTCACTGCAATAATTAACTAAATGAATTAATCAATAGGAAGACAATCCTAGGTAGGGTGTTATTTATACACATTACACAAGGATTCAATTCCCTTATCATTTTTATTATTATTATTTGGAAAATATGCCTCGTGCTGCATGCGCGCACACATTCATTCAGATTGTATGTCTAGTGCCAAAAATCATACACATTTGTTCGTTTCTGTTTTCTCTCTTTTTCACTTATTTTCATTATTTAGTTATAATATTTTATTTTTTTTATATAAAATGCAACATGATATATTTATTATTTATTGGAAATTACAAAAATATATAGAAAAAGATTCAAATAAAGTTTAAAAAAATAGAACCTAATCCATTTTTTTTTCAACCCTTTTTTTAAAAATAATAATAATAATAATATTAACATTTTAAAATTTTCCCTAAAAAGTTTGTAATATTTAACCCATTTTTATCCATAATAATAATAAGAATAATAATAATAATAATGCAGCTTAAACCTTCTGACTTTATGCGAATTATTTCTAATATTATTTTAAGTACTAATTAAGTCTTGAGAGCAAAATAAATAAACAAATATATATATTATACATAATCGTCCAGCCATTTACATCGATCTTGAAGTTGAAGGAGCTTCGAGACGAATGTAATCATACATAATTCCCATCCAAGGGCTCGACCCTCTCGATTGAGTCAAAAATATCGTATTAGTACCCCGACCAAGTCGAGAACTTGATATGTCAACGATGTACAACCAATAGAGCCCATAAATCCCATGCCTTGCTATTGTATTATCCTTTCCTATTTCCCCTGTTGTGAAATCATGTGTCGACTCATTGTTGATCCCAACCTATACAACAAAAACATGTCGGATTTAGATTATATATATATATATGTGTGTGTATATGTGGGTATCAAGATATAGTACCTGTAACTCAGCTTCATTGGCTGATGCAAGGGCAAGTAAAAATGTGTAATTTCCTAATTTCACATTTTCGAGGTTGAATATGATTCTCCACGTGGTTGGTATGTATGTACCATTGTCCATCCTCCTTCAAATCATCAAAGCAAGTAATGTTATTTCATAAAGTATGTTATTATTATTTACATAAATTAAGAAAGTATAAGTAGCACCTGTTAACATGAGCAAAATACCAGTCTGTCTGATACTTGCTTGTTCCAATTTTATAAACTAAGTCTTGGTTCGGGTGGATTTCAGTGTATCGATCCCACAAACCATATTGTCGGAACCAACTACATATCAACCAAAATTGTTTTAAAGTAACACACTATATACAATGAGTTTTTTTTTTTTTTGAATTTTATGTGATAGAATTACTTACTTGCGAGACTGATTAACATACAATCGATTGATGAGCCTCGAATTTGGTTTAGGCACAAAAAATTCAGCAGCAGTACGATCAGGAATCCCAATTTCCCAAAGAGTAGGTCCATTTCTTGGGGGTTCATATAAGATGTTCTTAAGATTAATATGGCTCCCTAACATAAATTTAAATATTGAAGAATCACGATATGTTTCGAGAGTAGAATTCACAATAAGAACAAATAATATAGTAAGTTTCAACATGGGACTTGATCATACTTAGTTCTCTATCACATTTTGTGATATCACCTAAAGTTCAAAGTTCAAATGTGTTACTACTAATGTAAATATATTAGCACCTGGCACGATGTTGATTATAGCATTATATTTGTAGTCTCCGATGTATCCGGGAACCCAACCATATAAACAGTAATTCCCAGCTCGAACATTGTTTATTACAAACATTCCGTTTGCATTGGCTTGAGTCCAAAATTGATAACCCTGAAACAAAAAAGTTATGTTGATGAAACTTCGTGATAAAATTATGTAGTATATTATGAATCAAATTTGAAACCTTATTCTCTGATTGCCATGATCCAAGGTTGCCTGGAGGTGCCAGTCCGATATATGAATACTTTGCCTCTATATACTTCTGACTTATGTATCTGAAATAAAATTTTATACTACTCTTATATATATGCACTTAGCCAAAATCAATAACAATTCTTTTGAAATTGGAAAATTAGTTACCTATCATGAACAAGCAATTGTCCCGACACACTGCCCCTTTGATTAGCACGAGGGAAGTCATGTGATCTTGGAAAATCGTACGGCCAACTTTTGGTTTCCTTAAGCATCTACATATTAGAAAAAGGATGAAAATAATTTATCACAATTATATCATGAATTTACATTTTAAGAGATTGATTAGCAAGAATCTAAACAAGATGATGATTTTACTATCAATATATATAAGGAAAAGCGACATACTTGTTTTTTTGCATCATCCCATAATACAAGAGGATTTTGACCTTGCGATGCTGAATTTAGATAAATAAATACGGGTCCAAAGACCTTTTTCCACGGCTCGTCATTAAGAAATTCTATAATCAATGGTTTTCCAGCGTAGTGGGTACTAAAGAACATCTGAACATGTATTGATGATTGTTAGTTCAATCCATTTTCTACAATATTAAAATTTATACAAATAATATAAGTGTGCTACCGATATACAAATCTATACATGCACGGATGGGCACACACACATATGTACCGATAAAACGATTGGGCCAACATGAGATGTGAGATCCTGTTTTGTTGGACCGCCGGTTTTAAACTCATCACTCGGAGTGATGATCCAAAATCCTGTAAGATGGTTTGGACATATCCAACCATGGACTCGATTATTCTTGTTATCACTCGAGTATTGATATTTATCATCTACCTGTAAAATGACAATATTGTCAATGCATATAATATGTATACATGTGCACTGATTATATATTAAATTTAAAATATGGAAGATAATATTATATTTCATGTGGTTTATAGAAAAATACTTTTCCACTTACAGTAAAAAAATATTTGCATGAAATCTATCTATATTTTGTAAACTCTACACAAAACTTATCATTGGTTAAAATTTAATAAAAAATATATCTCACGTGCTAGTACAACAATTGAGATCACCTATTTGATCACATCTTAGTAGTAGTCCTAACACGTGAAATATATTCTCTATTAAATTTTGATTGATGAGAAATTTTATGTAGAATTTTATAAAATACACATAAACCTCGTACAATTTCTTAACTGTACGTGAGAATCATGATTATTTACAAACCACAAAGGTTATAACTTAATTTACCATTTAAAAAATATAGACATAACATAGATACATATTTATTTATGTATATTCTTCGTGCATACATTACCTCGCCTCGTATCAAATGGTTTCTTGAATTTATTAATAGCACGGCTTCTGGGTATGCAAGTTTTTTACCATTCTCACGGTCCTTGTAACTCGGCATGATCCTTTGCCTTTCATCAGATAATGCCATATATTGAAACCTGATCAATAACAAACAAGATTTAAATTATTATTCATTAAAACTTAAATAGTAAAAAAGTAAAACGAAGATAATATTTATTTACATATTTTTTTGAAGCTTAAACACGATCCGTCCTTCAGTTAGACTCGTACCAGGCCAGCCTTTTAAGCGCTCAACTATTGCATACGAATAAAAACCAGAACCACCCCGCAACATTATGAATCTATAGAGCAATGCAAAGCATTTCGATAAATATAATATATATTGAGCTTATTTATGTACTCTATTGTGAATTCAATCTAATGTGCATTGTATACCTTTTGTCAATATTGAGGGGAAGCCCTTTAGAAGTCGAATTCCATGTTCGAGTAAATGAAAGCTCGACTTGGTTGTCTTCTTCCATTACAACGTGAAAATTTGTCCCTTCAAGCCTTAAATAAGAGTAAATTTATTCAGTTAAATCTACATTGTAGGAAAACAAACACTATTTTACTTTTTTCATTAAGATCCTTATTCTTCATATTCATATCACTTTAAAGCTCTATTTAATTTTGTTTTCAATCTCATTTTCACACCTTATGTTCTACAAGTGTTTTTTCTTGTCCGAAAATATTTTCGTAAGCATTAGTCAGCTTGTTAATAGTATATTAGTTGATACTTACTTGTCAAGATTATCGACTTGATGCCTCGGAGTGCTCCAGATAAAATCCCAATACCTACATTATAGTTTTCTTAATTATATGTCTTGGCATCTCTAAAATTATAAATATATGCCTCCATAATTGAAAAAAAATAAATAAATAAATAAATAAATTTATGTACCCGCGATTATTTTCCTCATTGTCAACTGCGAGTATATTGTCGATGCCATTATATTGTATCCTTACGATCATCCCAGCAGGAATAGACAAAGAAACATTTAGAATGCCATTGTCCAACACAACCTGATGAACATTTATGTATTTTTCTTTTTTTACATTAATTGTTCACATTTCAATAATAATATAATTAAATCATAAGTAAATTATGCATAGACATTAAAAAGAATAATCTGTATTACATGGTCTCCAAGCATATGCAATCGAACCGGAGAAGAATGGATCTTGTAGGGTTTGCTCTCAGGGCTATTTCTGTAACAAAGTATACAAAACTTACATAAATAAATGGGGAAACAAATGGATTATTGCATATTTTAAGAAAATCAATATTAAATACTTCGGAAAAATAAATAAATTACATTATCCTATAAAATCTATAGTTTGATATGCCAAATTAGTGTCAATTTTAGTATAATGACATAGCTTTTCGAGTCAATTAAGGTTAGACTACATATGTTTAAATTGACACTAATTTAGCAAATATATTCCGGATGCACCAAAATAACTTTTATTAAATAGTGTTATAAAATTTTACTTTTCCATACTAAAATAAAAATAAAAGGAACAAATAAGACCCATGTTTCCATAAATCAAATTCCATGCAAAATCCCAATACAAAACAATAAAATTAAACTATAAATAAGGCCAATTGAATATAATAATATATGTAGAGGCATTATCTAACAATTATTTTCATCTAAAAATATATTTATTCAATCAATTTTTTCCTTTTTTTTTTTTTAATATTCAATTTCCGATATATATAATATTTATATTTTAGTTTTAATAATTCAACATATTATTATTATTATTATTATTATTGTTTTATTTGAAATTGAAACCAAAAGACGGCCTTATTGTTGTTCTAATATGTATATATATATATATATTTTTTTTATCATAAAATTTTAAGTTCTCCAATAAAAGTGTGAATATTATTTTTTTTTTCAAAAAATCAAAATAAATTATTTAAATAAAAACTATAAATACAAACCAAATAAATAAATAAAATCACTAACCAAACAAAGAATTTAAGATGGAGAAAACTTAACTGGCCGTGGGGGTGTGCTGCTGCACACACGAAGAAGAAGAAAAGCTGAACAAAAATGGCCAAAACCGGAATCATAGTCATACTTCGATTCGATTCTCTCTCCCCTACACCAAAACAATACATATATATCCTTCATTCCTTCAAAACCATTTCCTAAATACATACATATATACATACCTCTGAATAATAATACACACATTCACAGATGAAGATGATGATGCCTTTTCTGCAGCAAATCTTTAAATACATAATCACTCACTACTTAAATTAGATAAAAAAAAAAAAAAATTTGGGGTAAATTAAATTATGTGAATGCAGGGAGGCAGTAAAATCAACAGTCACACACTCCTCTCCACATTTTTCGTTGTTTTTTCTTTTATCCTACAAAAGTAACCACATTTACCTGTTGTCATTGTTCAATAATATTAAATTGATATATTAAAAAGTTACGTTATAAATGGCAGTTTTTGACCACAATTTTTTCTTCTCTAATTAATAAAGGATGGTTGGTATTAGGTAATAAGGTAAATTTATTGTTATTAACTATGAATATTTTACCGTTTCGGATTTTTTTTCCTTTATTAGGAGGGTGAAGGAAAAGGACAGATTTTAGCGTCACATTAACTAGCGGGTTAGTTGGACGGTAAAACTAATTGATAGAGTTAACACGTGTCACTCTACTATTGGTTGCTTCAAATATGAGAGGAAATATTGGATGAATCTCCACCGTAGATTTGACTTGTTCGGCAACGAACGGCTTGGATTCATCTGTTGTTGCGCAGCAGCGTGTCGAGTTTGACAAGATTGCTTGCCGTAGACAATGAGGTTCTCCTTTGTTTTTTACTTTATACTTGGTATAATTTTTTTTATAAATATCATTTCATTCGATCTACTCATTTTAATTTGGTCTTATTATTTTTAATATTAAAAATATTTTTATATTTATATAATTTTTTACAAATATTATTACATTAATAGTATGATGCACTAATAATTTTTTTTTTATATTTTATTAATTTGTATTATATTTTGATATAATAATAAGTATTCAAATATTAATATGCAAAAAGTAGATAAATAAATTGGAAGGGGACGGATGTAGTATTATATTACATAATTATTTTTGTTTAAAATCATTTAAATTAAATAAGAAAAATCAATATAAAAATAAAAAGAATATACCTTTGTATATGGGTGTGTTTTCACATTTTATTTTACTTTTTTTTAAAATATTAAATTGAATCAATAACCTCAATGTAGGAGTCAACTTATAATAAATTATACACTCAATATTTCACATTAAAATTCACTATGTCATTTAATAAATTATTACATTAAACTATGTGTAAATGTAAATGCAAAGTACAATAAAAATTAAAATAAATTTGTTTAAATTTATTTGAAATTGAGATTTTATTTTTTTAAAAAAATTATAATGGATTTGTTTATTATTTCAATGTAATATTGTGTGAAATAAAATAATATATTTATTTTTACAAATTGTGTGACTTTAATAATTATATTAATATATATCTATATAATACTATTAAGTGTGTGTTTGTTTTGTATTTTTGTTTTAATAAATTATTTAGGTACAGAGGAAAATATATCTCATATAATTATATAATTCTGTACAATTCATATAGAATAATATATTTTAAATCAAAATACTAAACAAATAAACCTTAAGTATTTTGTATATTTTAATAAAATATATATTATATACTACCTTCCGATTCTGGGTCCTATTCTTTTTATTAGTTATTATATGAAAACATAGTACAAATAAGAGAAAAAAACAAAAACAATCTTACTATCTTATAATACTATTATAATGAATTTTGTGCAAAAATTTATATAAATATAAAGATATTTTTAATGTAATAACACAAAATATAAATAAGACATTTAGAACCGAGCGAAAAGAATAATTTATTACTCTATAATTTTTGAATAAAAATAATTACTCTCGTCCGGTAACTTATGTAAATTTATTTAGACATAAAATTTTTTTAAAATAATAATAATATTTTAATATTAAAATATAATAGATAAAAATAAATTAGAATTATAATAAAAATTTTATTATGAAATTGATAATATATGTATATATATGAGCTAAATAAAAAAAAAGATTATTATTTTATTAAAACAAACATAATAAAATAAAATTGGATATAAATAAAATTTTTTATTATAAATATAATCAACATAAATTTGATAGAGAAACCAAAAATAATAATACCATAATTGCATTGTATAAATGAATTTTATTTTTATTTCTATATTTTTGTACTAAAGTAATTGTACGGTGGTACAATAGTTTGAATAAAAGATAATTTTATTTTATATTTTTATTTATTTCAAATACAAATTAATTTATTTTAATACTAAAATTAAATTTTAATATAATATAATAAATATAAATAAATACTTAATTTGATATTTATCTAGGGTTTTTTTTTTTACTCCAAATCATTCAACTTTTTTCAATCACAAACATTCTATCAAATATTCACTCGGTCCCAGATACCATGTTCACGCTGCCGTTTCTGTCCGTGCCACGTACCATGTCACTTTCATTTTTTGGAAAATGATTATCTACTTTAATTTCATTTTAAATTTTTAATTTTTTTTTAATTTTAATTAAACTAATTAGTTATCTTAATCTTAATTTATAATTATTTATATTATTTTTACTAATACATTCTTAATTATCTACTGATTATACCTCCTTACACCCCTTAGACACGGTATTTAGAACGGGAGGGAGTATTATTTTAATATTAAATTTAAATTTTTTTTCAAAACTAATAAAATAAACACACCCCTCTGTATATATATTTGAAATTTATAAAATGAAAATTAAACCAAAAGCCACCCGGATTTATAAAAGGTAAGTGGAAGACAATAGCTTGTGTCATTCGATGCCGCGCCTCTTCGCCACCATAAATTTTGCTTAAACCCTTCGCCGTCGCTCTCCTGCCCTTTTCCTGAGATTTCAGCTTCCACCGCCGGAATGTCTAGCTGGAGGAGTCTGGTGCTTCGTCTCGGAGAAAAATGCTCCGAGTACGGCGGAAATGCTGACTACAAGGACCAATTGGTCTGTCTTCGACTCTCGTCGATTTTTTTCTGCAATGTTTGATCTTTTGCTTCTGCTTTTGTTTTCCATAAGAATAGCCTTATTTAGCTATTCTTCTTTACACCGCTGTGCAAGAAATTTGATTTAAAAGCTTTGAAAATCTTGAAAATTCGCTAATTGATTTTTCACTCATGTTACCCTAATCCCGGAAATAATGGCGCTTTCAAGGTTGTTTTTCCTTTGATAGTTATCTTTTTATTTTCTCGATTATGCGGTTTCTTAGTAATTTATTGAAAATGCTCCCCGATAACTCACCGTTTATTTCCCAATTTCACTGGCCTTTACCTTTGAGCCGTGTATGTTATTGTAATCTTTGTTAGTTGCATTGCAGGAGACTTGCTTTGGTGTGGTTCGTCGAGAATTGGGGCATGACAGTGATGAAATCTCTTCTGTGAGGATTTTGATTCCGTTTCTACAGTAGTTTGGCCTTGTTTTGATTTTGTTGGTTAATCTTTACTGATGCACAGTAACTATTATCTTAAGCCTTTTAAACTATAGGGAGTGTTTCCTACTTATTAGTTTATTGAAAGCTGTTATAATATTTCAACAAAAGATCTTAAGATGAATACGTGTGATTGTATTATGTTTGCCTGTTTTAGTCAATATATCCATATAGATTAATTTTACAAAATGCTCCGCTGGCTTATAGATCCAAGAGCAACAGTTTTAAGCTACAATCAGTGACAGTCTTAGGCTTTTGTTGTATAAGCTATTTAAGTGAACTTGAACACTTAGGTTTTTGTTTTATAATACAATGATGAACTTATGATTATTAAAACAAGAAGTTATAATATCGAAGCATTTAGTCATAAGGTTAGCCCGACTGGGCTGAAGGGTCATTTTATGTATAATTATGATTCTTATAAATGATTACTGCAAAATTAAGATTAACAGTTTTTAAGCTACAATCAGTTACAGTGTATCCTCTGTATTCTTTCTTTATATATATATATATATATCAGAATGTTGTATCTATTATATAAGCTGCTGCTTATCCGTTGTAATTTTCTATCATTATATTACTCAAGCTGCCTGGTCTAATTTCTTATTTCTGGCAGTTCCTTCTTGAATGTGCTGAACAGTTGCCTCATAAAATTCCTTTGTATGGAACACTGGTACGCTTCTTCCCAACTAAAGTTATATTTCTCTGCCTTTTTCATGCTCTACATGTTCATTACTGTGTTCTATGTGAATCAATGACAGGAGAGACATTTTAAGGTTTACAATTTGCATGTAACTGATATGTTACATACATTATTAACATTGATGTGTGAAGCATATATTTGGAAATGAGTGCTCTGAGAAGTTAATTAGAAACATGTGTAGATTCAGGGATGAAGTTGTATTCCCATGGTTTTTACTGGGTTATTTTTGTTCTTTGTGCTGTCACTGAATGCATATACTGTCGGTATCATTGAAAGGAGTACTAGATAGTTTCTAGGGATATCTTGGCAGGTATTTAAATACTTTATATGGATGTATTAGTTGCACCCCTATTGTTTTATTCTTAATGGATAAATAATCTAGTAGCCAGTAGTCTTCTAAACCAGAATAACTGGGTGAGCTGCTTTGAGCAAATCCATAACAAAACGTGTGTCTTAAATGCTTCAACAACATTCAAAACTATTTGGTGTGTTTGACTAAGATACTATGTTTTGTGGTTTCTCTCTTATATGCATATATGATTTTTTATAACTTCTGAGTGAAAAGCTATTTCGTGTGTTCCAACTAAGACTTCTCCTAATGCAGATTGGCTTATTAAATCTGGAAGATGAAGATTTTGTCAGGAAAATTGTTGAAATTACACATGATAATTTGCAGGTAAAAAATCATATAAGCAAACTTATTATCAATACCAATGCTTAATTTCTCATGGTAGTTCACTTTCTCAGAAGAACCAAATATTGTTGATGTTTGTTTGATATAATTCAAGTTTTCTTGATTATTGACAGGTTGCTTTAGATAAAGGAAAATGTAATACAATCCGCATACTTCTGCGTTTCCTTACTGCATTGGTATGTATTATATGAATCTTTGTTTACATAGCAGCTTACCTCTTTGCATCAATGATTTGACCGAATAACTGAATTTTGCACTTCATTTTGTTTATAAATTTCTAATTGGATTATGATAGAGTGCGTATCCATTCAAGAACTCTTCTAAACATAAAAATCAAGTGGTTACTCGTTGGTTTAGAACTATGCTCAACTGCCACATCCAGTGCTCTGCTGCTTAATCTGATTTTTTTTTTTTTTTACCCAAAAGGGTGTTCCATTGGAATTAGCTTGGGTTGGATCATTTCTTTATGTATATTATTTTTTGAATATAAGATTATCCTGAGAGAATAATTTTGCCAATATTAGTATAAGACCACTTGAGCTGGTGCTTACGAGTTTCCTCTTTTTTAACTCATTAGAAACTTTTTATGTCTAGATACTATCTTATTGCTGATTTTGTTCTTGATCAACGCAATACAGATGTGCAGCAAAGTTCTCCAACCAAATTCCTTGGTAGTTTTGTTTGAAACACTCTTATCATCAGCTGCAACCGCAGTGGATGAAGATAAGGGAAATCCATCCTGGCAAGCTTGTGCTGACTATTATATTGTATGTGTTTTATCATGCCTCCCTTGGGGAGGAGCAGAACTTGTTGAGGTAATTTTTTATTTATTTACTTTTCTGCGTTGCATAAATTATTTTGTTATTGATAAGATGTTGGTGATTGTCTAGTTCATTTTGATTGTTACCGTTAGAGGCTTGTGTCCTTCGTTTCATGCTACCTTTTCTACTTCAATGAATGGATTAGTATGCTCATCTGGACTATTAGTTTATCAGCTTATTTTGTCATCTTTAAAATTATATTTCTCATTTTCTGAAGGAATAATACCCTCTCCCAACCTTTGTGTGGCAGTGTACTGTGTCGCTGAACCTTGGAGTGCTAATGATACATTTGTTTAAACGAAGAAATAGTGATGTTTATTGATATTATGGTTTGTAAGACATAAATTGGATCAATATGTATTTACCTTTCCAGTGATATCTATGCGACTGACAATTTTCAACTTAATACAAGAGAAGAAAGTGCATAAAATGTAGTCTTTATAGGAATATTGATCTGCTTTAGAGGAATGGAAGTATTTGGCTTGCTATATACAAATTGTCTGGATTATGGGGAATTTCATGCACATGTTATCGGATAAATTTTTATTGATGCTTCATGCACTTTCGGACAACATTTTTTGGGTTTTATTTTCAATCCTTTGGTAGCGTAAGTTTGAATTTGACTATTTTTTACTGATTCAGCTTAATGTAAGTTTATGAATCTCATCTGATATCATGAGCCACATGTTACGAGTATATTGGTTACTTATTTTCCCTTTGTTTTACATATGCTTTCAAACTTGTTTTGGAACTATTTATAAAATTTCTTTTTCTAAAATATATCACATCTAATACCTAATTTTCATTTAAAATAGTATATCAAAAAACCTATTTATGTAGACAACATCACTTCCAATACCTTTCTACATCATACGAAAGATTTGTTTTTCACTCATCTATTTATTATTACCAAAACTCCAAAACACTTCCAAAACATATCTAAACCCTTGTTTTGGTTTCTATTATTTCCTGTTTGTATTTGCTACAACTTCATCTAATCTCCTGGTGACTAAACTCCTGGTTAAGGTCTTCTAGTTTGGATGTCATTTTTAAAGACTTAAATTATGCTATTTAATGTCCAGCAAGTTCCTGAGGAGATTGATAGGGTTATGGTGGGAATTCAAGCCTACATGAGTATTAGAAAACATGTTTCTGATTCTGGCTGCTCTGTGTTTGAGAATGTTTATGAAAGTGATCAAGGTGAAGCTGGAAAGGTATGCCTTTTATTCATGAGAGTTTTGCATGTTATGCAAGAATGTTTGAAAAGGGATATCTTGACTTGACCTGGAAGTAGACAAGGCATATAATTCACTCTCTTATGTTTTATTGTATTCATCTTCAAGGATTTCTTGGAGGATCTCTGGAGCAGGGTTCAAGATCTTTCCAGCAAGGCATGGAAACTGGATAGTGGTATTCTTTTTGTTTCTATTTGTATACTTTAGATCCAATAACAATACATCAAAATATATTAGGTTATTTTTCTGCATCTTCAATGAACTATGTATTATGTGTTACTTGCGGTGACCTTGGTAACATTTCTATACCTTGGAAAAGGGTGGGTTATTTCTCTAAGTGAACTTTGTTGTAAAACTGGTTTTCATGTCTGTCCTTATGAATAAGATTGGCATTGTAGGATTAAGAAGTCTAATTTGAGAATTGAAAAATCTTACTTTATATGTATCTACCTAATAATAATAAATATCACTTGTTGAAAATGGTTAGTGAAATATTGGCTTTATGGAAATATGTTTATGGCAGATTTTATAGTGAGGCCCAATTAGTAATTGAATTTAAAGTTAATAATTATTAGCCGTCTATGCCACATATGCCAACGCATGCATATACATCAATTATCAAATGAAGTTGTTGTCTAAGTTCTACGTTCTCTTCAGTTCCCAGACCACACCTTCCATTTGAACCACAGTTGGTTGGTGGAAAGTCTCATGATTTTGGTCCCATAAACTGCCCTGACCTTCCTGATCCTCCTGCACCATCATCGGAAGTTGCACGTGGTAAACAAAGGCATGAAGCTGAACAGAAATATCCTCAGCGTATCAGAAGACTTAATATTTTCCCTTCGAGTAAGACCGAGGTAATCAACATATTTTTGATTTATTCTTCTTATGTTCACTGTTTACTCGTACACATACTTTTTTGTCTCTATGATAATAGTTAAAGATTTTGATATGTCTGCATAAATAAATCAGCTTTCCAAGGATACATGATTTTGATTTGGATGTCTTTAATCAATTCTAGACCACCAAAAATAGTTCGAAGTCGAACATAATATTTTACCTGTGGTAGAGCTATTCAGAAGTAGCTAAGCTTGACAAACATTAAGCGGAGATTTTATTATGATAGCTGGTCCTCGCATAGTGTTTGTCTGAATCTGTTCATTTTGTAATCATTTTGTCATATGCCTAAAGTTGGTAGTACCTTCTTATTGCAGCATTTGCAGCCAATAGATCGGTTCGTTGTGGAAGAGTATTTGCTGGACGTGCTATTTTTCTTAAATGGATGGTTAGTATAGTGTTTGTTTATTATTATTATTATTATTTGGTGTGTTGGTCATCGTAATTATTTTTGCTTTCCTGCAAAGCTAGCCGGAAGGAATGTGCCTCTTATATGGTTGGCTTGCCAGTTCCATTTCGATACGAGTACCTTATGGCTGAGACCATATTTTCTCAGGTATGAATTGATGGTATTGGGTTATTTGTTTATTATTATTTTTTCTGAATTGAATTCATTTTGTATGATCTGAACCTTTCTACTAGATATCTTAAATGAATTTCCAAACCAAAAGGTTTTGGACCGCTAAATTTTACTCTCTGAGTAGATATTATGCAGCAGCAATGTATAAGTTATATATGAAAAAGAGTTCAATATGGAAGACTTGCGAGCTATCTGGTTGTGGCTAGTTTAAAATGTGTAAACAAAACCAATGTTGTAGACAGGTAGAAAGATATGTATATCTTTTAATTTTGGTGGGTGAGGGATTGCTTGTAGGAAGGATTCTTGCCTTTAAAAGATCACTTATCATTTGGTGATATCATGCAGTTCATATGGTTAATCACTTTTATATAAAAAGAAATTATTTGGTTGTAGAAGGGGGTAGTCTTACCTATTAGATGCTTTGAACTCCTTATCATTGGGCGACATCTTGTATTTCATATAGATAATATCTTTTCAATGAATGCTTATTCGTGACTTGCAGATTCTCTTACTACCCCAATCTCCTTTCAAGCTGATGTATTACACATTAGTGATTATGGATCTCTGCAAGGTATGCTCCAATAGTTTCTATTTATTACATTTCCATGTTCCTTTGCATCTGTATTTGCCTATTAATCTATCAAGCGCCCATAGCTGTTCTAATGCCAAGGTTACATTCCAGGCTCTTCCTGGTGCCTTTCCAGCAGTTGTAGCTGGTGCAGTTCGTTCACTGTTTGATAAGATTAGTGATTTAGACATGGAGTGCCGTTCTCGTCTTATCCTTTGGTTCTCACATCATCTGTAAGTCAGAAGTATTATACCTTCTGAAATCTTATTTATTATTTTAATTTTTCTCAGATAAGAGTATCATAGGCTGTTTAATGTGTGATGCTGACATTACTTCATTTTGAGTATCTCTCTAGCGCTATCTACTTCATGCATTAATATGGAATATTCATTAAGGGTTTCTCTTCTCTGTAGTTTCATTAAAGAAATGATCCCTTCAGTGTGTCAATTTGTATTTTCCATTTTGTGAACAATGATTGGAAACAGCTATTATATCCTGCTACATCTTTGCACTGTATTTGCAGATCAAACTTTCAATTCATTTGGCCATGGGAAGAATGGGCTCATGTCTTAGATCTTCCAAAATGGGCACCACAACGTGTGTTTGTTCAGGAGGTTCTGGAAAGGGAAGTGCGGTTATCATATTGGGACAAAGTTAAACAGGTCATCTCCTTGTTTTATTGACTCCTCCTCTCTCTTTATATATATATATATATATATATATATATATTATATCTGTCCCCCAGATAATATCTCTATTTCAATTGATAAGCTTTTATGTTGTTTGTTTTGAACATTTCTTTGCTACATTTTTTTTGTCATTTTGACGTCGGAACTCATTATTTATATTTGAGGTTATACAAATTTGTAGCTATTCTGATCACACTATTGATTTTCTTATTGACTTGAGATTGGTAAAATGCATTCCACTGATATGCTATACTCTTGCTGTTGTTTATCCATCCTACCAATGCAAAATTTTGCTCATCAATTTCATTTTTCTTTAATGTTGCACGTGTTTAAAATTTGAAGCTAATTCATGGGGAATAATTCAACCACAAATAATAAGGTTGGCTTTAATTGATTGTCGTTTTATTTGGCTGGGCTTGTAGAGCATTGACAGTGCCCCTGCTTTAGAAGAGTTGCTTCCACCAAGAGGCACTCCAAATTTCAAATACAGTGCAGAAGATTGCGATCAAACCGAGCGTGAAATTTCCTCAAAACTTAATCAAATGGTCAAAGACCGCTCAGCTTCTCGTGAAATTATTTCGTGGATTGAAGAACATGTGCTACCAGAACACGGATTTGATGTTACACTCAGAGTGGTTGCTCAAACCTTCCTGAATATTGGTTCTAAGAGCTTTACTCATTTGATTACTGTGTTGGAGAGGTATGGTCAAGTCTTTGCTAAAATCTGTCCAGATCAGGACAGGCAAATCATGTTGATTTCTGAAGTTGATTCTCTCTGGAAGAACAATGCTCAAATGGCTGCGATAACTATCGATAGAATGATGGGCTATCGCCTCGTGTCTAATGTGGCTATAGTGAAATGGGTTTTCTCAACATCAAATTCTGATCAGTTTCATGTTTCTGATCGCCCATGGGAGGTATGATTGTTTTAGGAAGCACTATATATCTTCATTTAGCTATTCACTTTTTACTTCAACAAAAGAAGGCCTAATGGGGAATTGTTCATTTTATAGATACTGAAAAATGCTGTTACTAAGACATTCAATCGCTTGACTGATCTAAGAAAGGAGATTTTGTCCCTCAAGACGAGTGCTGCTTTAGCTACAGAAGCTGCAGTGAAAGCCCAAGCTGAGCTGGAGGATGCACAGTCAAAGCTAACTCTAACTCTTGTAGATGGTGAACCTGTCCTTGCTGAAAACCCTGTTAAAATGAAGCGCTTGAAGTCAAGTGCTGAGAGAACGAAAGAGGCGGAAACTTCTGCACGTGAATCATTAGAAGCCAAACAGGCAGTTTTTTCACAAGTTATTAATGAGATTGAGGTGTGCGAAAATAGTTGTGATGTTTTGATTAATACTTAGTCATGTGCCCAATTTTATTATATATTCCCTTTTGAAATGTTTTGTCTAATTTGAGAGTATTAAATCTGGTGAATTTAATATATATCTATGGTTGCAGGAATTATTTCTATTCTTGTACAAAAGCTTCTGTAATGTGTTGGCTGAACCGCTTCGAGAAACAGATGGATCCTTGCACCAATCTAGCAAGGCAGCAGATGAGATGGTTGTTGACCAGGAAGATGCTCCAACAATGGAGTTGGACAAAGAGGGTGAAAAATCCGAGAAAAGGTTGCCTTCTATGCCCATTCTGGTTGTTCGTGTGTAACTGAAAATTTGTTGTCTTTTATTATCTATTCCTGATTGCCAATTTCTTTTGCATGTATCACTGCTAATTGCAGTCAACCCAACGGGGACAGGACCACAAATGGTTATAATGTTGGTGAAAAGGAACAGTGGTGTTTAACCACCCTGGGTTATGTCAAGGCCTTTTCACGTCAATATGCTTCAGTGGTTAGTCATATTGACTTTACATTTCTTTGTTCATGCTGAACAACCTTTTGTTTTTTTTGATATGCAAATGATGTCTGCTTAATATTTTTGATATCTGAAGTGGTCAATGATCATGCAGCGTCTTCCTTGTATTGCACTCTTGTGTTTCACTTCATTTTTTCTTTATTTAACAGATATGGCCTCTAGTTGAGAGATTAAATGCGGAGATATTAACAGAGGATGTTCATCCACTTTTTAGGAAAGCTGTATACACTGGCCTGGGCCAACCCATTGACACTTAGTAAGTTCTTGTACCTCCGTTACTCATCCGAGAAAGCGATGTTGAGTTTGTGACAGCATTTCTTACTAGAGTTTTATCATGTTTGTAGAATCATGGTTTTATAGATCATATTAGTACTTTATTTTGATTGGGTGATCCTTTCTCTGAATTTTTAACAAGGAAAAGTTCTTGCTGTTGTATTACTCCTTTTTCATTATAGGAAAGATCTTCATTGTTATTTTACCTTTTCTCCAAGTGCTTCTGAGTTACAGTTTAGTTCTATAAACAGTGCAATTCCCTCTAAATTATAGGGCTTTCATTTATTTCTTGTGCCAAAACTTAATACTGGTTTGATAGTCTATCTATAGGGTTTGAATGTTACCCTATTCCTATGTCTAATTATACCCTTTTCCCTGTTATTCACACATGTAAAAAATAATTTGGCAACAGTAAGGCAAACATTCAAAACTAGAAAAGGAGAAAGTTGTAAAGGACTTAAAGGCTAAATAGTTACAGTTTATAACCCAATACGAAAGAAATTTGTATCTTTACAGTTGTGAAACATGATATGAACCAAATGCATAAACTATAAGCATTTTGGATCAAATTCACGTTGACTGGTTGCAGTGCTCAAATTGATGTAGAAAAGGAAAAGGATTGCTTTCGAAGGTTCATTTTAAAGAATCATCAGAATATGTTGCATCCAAATATTTATTGAAATGTGAAATCTGATGCTCCGGCCAAAGAACATGAAGTCTCTGCATATATCTCAAGGTGATCCTTCTAAACGGATATAATCATACGTGACTTCTGTATACTCACGATTAGTTGTTATAGTTAGGTATACTGTGTTTTGCCCTCTTAGAAGCAATCGTCCACCTACATCAATACTATAAATATGGTATATCCCGTGATCGCCATATCTTGCTACTGCATTGTCTTTCCCTTTGGTTACAGCAGTGAAATGCGGCACAGATTTTGGATCGTTAAAACGAACCTTCAATAACATATGCATAAATGAATAGCTATTAGCATATGATGGAAATGCTGTGGTAAAAGTTGTACTTTATTTTGACTTGAGAATTATAACAATGGAGATTTGCTTGTTACCTCTATGTCTGCATGATTTGCGGAAGCAAGTGCCAATTGTAGAGTGTAATTTGCTTTGACTTGCTCCAGCTTGAATTGAATTCGCCATGTCGTTGGTTTGTATTCACTTCCTTGAACTTGCCTGAAATATAAGGGTAATTACATACTGTGGTTAGAGCTGTTACTGGAACAGAGTTACTCAAAAGCTCGGGTCATTAAGTTCACATTTGGCTTGTTAAGTGAACTTGAGCTCTTTGATGAAGACCAGTTGAGTTTGAAAATAAGATATTAGGATACCCTAAATATATATTATCTCACTTTTATTATGACATTCTAAAGGGCAAATAGAAAATAGGTTGTACCTTGTAACATGTGCGTAGAACCAGTCCTTTTTATAATCGCTCGATCCGATAGTGAAAACAAGATCATCATTTGGATATATATCTTGGTAGCGCTTCCAAAGACCGTATTGTTTGATTCTGTAGAGGATTTGACAAAGAAAGGAAGAGGAGGAGAGGGTAAGAGATTTATGGAATTTGAGTTTGAACTTGAAATTTGCAGGAATTCATTACTTTTCAATGTGAGTTCCATATTTATGAATCTTGTATTCGGGTCTTGGATTTGGAATGAAGAACTCCCTTGCCGTACGATCTGGAACGCCGATTTCCCACAATGTAGCGCCTTTCCTCGGGGGCTCAAAAACTACATTTCCAACATCACTACTCGATCCTGCAGTTTTGTAACAATCTCACCCAAAAATCATTGTTTTTGTCAATCAGTTTAAACAATGGAATACAGAATAATAAATAGCACCTGAGGTGACGATGATTTGAGAAGGAGAAGCGTAGTCTCCAAGAGTTCCATTGACCCATGCAAACAAAGTGTAGGTTCCCGCTACAACATTTTTTATGGTGAATTTTCCACTCGCATCCGTTTCTGTCCAAAATTGATAACCCTACACATTCACTTTGAGCTAGTAAGCAAGTTAGACTTGAATAATAGATAGTAAGTATCACATTCGTCCGATATGTTTTGTTAGTATATGTGTTTTTTGAAAAATTTTATGTGGTTTTTTTTAATAATATTTTATTAAATTAAATCAGATAAAAATTAAAATAGAATACTAGTAAAAAATTACTATATCATACCTTGCTTTCAGTCTGCCATGAGCCAGGAGGTCCCGGAGTTCCCACTCCTACAAACGCTGACGCTGCTGCTACCGCTTGCTTATTTATGGACCTATATATTTTTATATAATTATATTTTATTTATTTGGTAGTATATTATAATATTGATATTTAACCCCAAAAAATATTGAAATAAAAATGCATAACCTAATATTATTACCTGTCAAAAACAAGAAATTTACCAGAAACAGTCCCCCTCTCGTTGGATTTAACGAAATCTTTTGCAACCGGAAAACCATATGGCCATTTTTCTGTCTCTTTCATCATCTGATAATTAAATTAATTTAATATCCCAATGATTTAATAAAAATAGCACAAGATATATTTAGACAGTAAATAAACAAAATACAATACACAATGAAACGGTGTACCTAACAATTTCATACATTTTTATATGAACATAAATGTTCAAAAAAACTTGCTATGAGAAAGAAATAAACCCAAGAATAATTATGCTAGTTTTTAAATAAAATAATGATTGCATGATAGATGTGATATTTTCTATGAAAATGAATATATTTTTATATATTAATAACAAGAAAATTGAATACTACTTTTTTATAAATTTTCAAAAGGAGCATCATATTTCAAGAATATTAATCATTCTTACTGTTTGCTTGGCTTCATTCCACAGGACAGAAGGGTTTGTCTTAGCAGAAGCCTCGGAATTGAGATGAATATAAAGGGGCCCAATAACCTTTTTCCAATACTCGTTCTTGTCGAATTTAAGATCAATATCATCACCGACATAGTGTCTGCTGTTAAAAACCTTTACATTCAAAAGGAAATTCAATAGTTAATGACAAAAATGAGAAGAAACACACACATAGTATGTATATATATACTTACAGAAAGAAGAGTAGCTTCGACATGAGAAGTGAGATCTTGCTTTAATGGTCCTCCAGCTCGAAACTCATTGCTTGGTGTTATCATCCAAATTCCCACAGGTCTATTTTCATTACTTACCCACCCATGGACTTGACTATCCTTATTATGGCATGCATAAAAGTACTTGTCGTCGACCTTAATTAAACAAATGGATGTTAATTAGTTAGTAGAATAGTAATATTGTGAACCATTAGGTTAAATGAAAAAAAATATGTTTTTTCTTAAATATATATATATATACTAACCTCCCCTTTGAAAAGAGGGTTTGTGGGATTTGTTAAAAGGACAGCTTCTTTAACATCAAGAGGTTGCCCGGTGCTTCGATCTTTACCATTTGGCATGTATCTTTGTATTGTATCTGACCTCGCCATGTAATTAAACCTATATATTAATTGACAAGGATTTAGATTGCATGCTAATTATTAAGTTTTGAAACCACAAAGAAGTCGTAATTAATACATACTTGTCCCCGGAAAGCTTGAACACAAGTCGGCCTACTTGTACTCCGAAAGCCGGCCTTTCTTTAGGATGTTCAAATATGGCATAAGAATAAAATCCTGATGACTCTCTTAGCATCACATATCTGTATACATTTTGATTTAATTTTGACCATACTCAACAAATTTATGAAAAGTGTATTGTTAGAATTAAGGTAAATTGACAGATAGAGCATACCTTTTATCGATGTTTAAAGGAACTGATGCAGAGCTACTCGAATTCCATGATCGAGTGAAAGAAATCTCGACTTGATTCTCATTTTGTTGTATAACTGTATAACTCGTTCCTTGTAGTCTACACAAAAATGAAATTTTATTTTTTATTTTGTTTTTTAAAAAAAGGTTGCTAGATCATAAAATTGCCGTGGTTATTTTAATTTGATGATAGAAACAACCTTTATTTTTGTTCACCTATAAGTTTCAATTTTGAGTGCAATAGTTTCTTAAATAGGGTTTCATGCGTTTAAAATCTATAGAAAAATAAATTTACATGATATATATATATATATATATATAGTGAAGAAGATATGTACTTATTAATTTTGTACAAATATTTACTCATGGCATACTATAAAAGTATCAATTTTCAAATGTTTATTTTAAACTTCAAATATATATAGATTGATTTGAATGATGAAAGTTCATTCGACACTATTAATCGCTAGGCCGTGATAAAATTACCCGTCAAAGATCTTTCGTTCTTTGCCTGGGTCGAGGCCATTCCACACCATATTCCATCGCCTGTAGACAAGTCATTTTTCATCAAAAGAAATAACCAAAGTAAAATTTACATAGAGTAACATTACAATACATGCGATATAAATACAATTTAACAAAGTAAATTCCATACCCTCTGTCTTCTTCTTTGATATTCGCATCGAGCAAATTATTGCCCCCTTTATATGTGACCTCCGAAATATCTCCATTCGGCACTGTCAATGTAATGCTAACTATTCCATTATTCATCGAAACCTACAACACATGCAATAAGATTTTGCAAGCCATAATTAATCAAACATCATCTAAGAAAAAAAATTGCCATTTTAATTACATGATGATCGTCTAGTTGAATGAGCTGCACGCCACGTGAAGACAAAGAGCCATCATCGATGTTGTCTGAAATATTTATTCTGCAATCACACAAAATCGAATTATATGTGTGACAATAGTGCTCTCGTTCAATGGAAATTTTTTTAATTCTTATATATATATATATATATATATATCTCTTTAAGTTGATACAAATAGTTTGAAAGCTCAATAAGAATACTAACTGTTGCAAATCGTGAGAATCGACGAGTATATACAATTGCTGCAACAGAATCATCAATCCCAGAAAAAGATTGAACATTTTTGGAGGCAACATTGTTGATTGCTCTTTTATTCTGCATGTTTGTTGTTTTGGAATATCATAAGATTGATGTAAAAATAAAATTTGAAAAAAAAAAGACAACAACCTTAAGAAGTAGTTGTTGAAAAAGGGCAAACTTAAATTAAAGACTATCGCTCATATAAAACAAATTAACGGTAAATCTATAATAAGAAGCATAAATTTCGTATTCGAAAAATAGAAAAATATATATGAAAGAAATAAGACTTACATTTGTTCTCATTTCAATTTATTTGTGATTTCAAATTAAAATTGACCGTACCATTTTTAATAAAAAATATTTTTTTTCCTTATAAAACATCACATTGAATTACTATTTTAAACAAAAATTTAAATCATAACTTCATTTCAAATCAATTTCAAATCACGATGGAACAAAATAATTTTTTTTTTTCATCTTAATTATTTATCAACAAATTTCAAAATAACACTCACTTATAATCTTCTATTTCAATTTATTTTTATTTTATATTATTTAAGATTATATTCATATTGAATTTTATTTACTATAATATAAAATTTCAATATTTCAATATAATGTTTAGAACAAAATTACATATGCAAACCATTCAATTGATTATGAATTGATTTGATCTAAATATATTACGTACGATAAAAGATAAAATAATAAATCAAAATATTCTTCATATTAATTTTACTAATACCAATAAATATATTAAAAATTAATAAAAAAATAATAATCTCACGAATACATAATTTAAATCATCAATCAATCAATCATTGAACTAGAAATATAAACTTAGCTACTCGTAATAATACTAAAAAATAAAATACTACCAAAAAACAGATAGTTCAACATGGAAGGCTCTTTCTTTGTATCTTCAACTTCTTCTCCTTTTTTTTACATATGATTTTTATTGTATTTATAACATTTTTGCATCCCAAAACATCAAAGTTCATCCCTTGGTCAAATTTATTATTTACCCTATTTAATTCCATTGAATATGGTAACTTGCATTGGTTATGGTCAATTAGTTCTTGACATACCTCGTGTAGATATGAGATTCTTCTTTCCAAATGTTGAAAACTTAATCCAATAAATTTCAAATTATGTTTCCATATATGATTTAATTCTTCCATGAAGCTCTTATTTATTGATATGACTAACAAGTGTTTTTTTTTTTACATATTTGCCTTAAATTTTATTTAAGATATCAGGAAACTAGTAAAAATATATTAAAAATATTAATATATATATATATATTAAATATTGAAATATACATACACACCGTGATATAACATGAATTGACAAATAGATAGACTCAGGCTACGCTTAATTTGTTTTTTTCTTTTTTTTCCAAATAAAATTTTACTATTTAGTTCATAAATTTTTTTTATAAAAATATGTTTGTTTGTTTTTTTTTTTTTTTTTTTTGCATTTCATTGTTTTAACTATGTTATTTTATTTTCAACATTTATTTTTTTAAATTATGTTTCATTAAATTTTATTATTTCATATTTTTATCTTTCTCTTGAAAAAAAGGATAAAAAAATCTAAATAAAAAACATGGATTAATTCAAAGGAGAAACCACACCGGTCAAAAAGGACCAAAACTCTAACAATATTTGAAATTTGTGAGAGAAAAATATGTGGTCAAAAATGCTAGGACATCATTATATGCACATATATATATATATATATATAATTACTATGACTTAGCATTGATTTGATTTGATTGAATTATTCAACTATATACACATAGATATGATATATTGGATCCACATATAAATAAGAAAAATAAAATAAATTTAGAAGCAGTGAGGTAATAAATAAAGCACGTCGTGGAGAATATAATCTCATATAAAAATCAATAATAGATTAAGATTGATTAAGTAAGAAGTTGGTGGGCGATGACAGAGTGGCAGACAGACAAAGAGACAACACATATCATATCATTAATAATTATTTTAATTAATTTAACAACTCTCTTGAATAATGTCACCAAAATTTCTTTCTTCCTTTGTCTACTTGCCCGCCCCCCTCCTTCAATTGCGCTCATTTTTCCTTCCCCTTCCCCTTTCACATTTACATTTAACAATTTAAAAAAAATAAAATTATTATAATTAAATATTATTTTCATCCCATACGAAAATGACATATGTTTAAAACAGTCCACAATCCGGCTCCATTTTAGAGAGAAGTTTTTTAAATTTTGAAACTTTTGGGAATAGTAAAAAATTGGATATTTAATTTAATATATTGTAAAAAAAATATTGAATATGATTTTTTTTTTAAAAAAAAAAACAAAATACTATTGATAAATAGACCATAATTTTCAAGAGTAGTATTTATGTAAACAAAATAGATACACAATTTTTTATATTATTTTTACAGTGTGTGTAGAGGATTTGTTTAATTGTGCGGGAATCAATGATTGGATTTGGTGTTTGGAATTGAAAACAAGTATCATAATTAATGTTTTTAAAAGAAAATTAAAGAAATGAATATCAAATATATATTTGATATTTGATTGTGTTTTAATGTGCTTGGATATTTTGTAAATTTTTTATTTAAAATAATATAATATAAATATATATATTTAATGTAATTTTTTAATATAAAATGTTTTTTACTGCAATATATTGAATAAAATAAAAAAAAATAAATGTATAATATAATAATTTTTAGAAAATAAAATAAAGTATTATAGATGAACAAGAGTTCAGTTTTAAACTTTTTAGAAAAAAATTGTTTGGCTTGAGCTTCAATATGCTAATTAACTTGATAGAGGTTATACTAAAAAGATGAGTATATACTACTTATATATAGTTACATAGTAGATTTGAGAGTTAAGTTTTGAATTTTGAATGATAAAATATTAAATTATAATGATTATTTTGATGTAATATTTTAAATATAAAGTATTATTTGTTAGTATTATATAAAAAGTTGAAAGTAATATTTTTAATTATATATATATGAATAACAAAAATCAAATTCAAACAAACCACAAGTGCCTTTTTCTAACAGAAACAAAAGTGCAATTTAAATACTATGTTAGGTTAACTTTTCATGTTACTTTTTATTTCTTTATTGATTTTGATGTCTTACGCAAAAAGTCTAAACACGCAATATTTACGAAATAGCAACCTATCTCTGTTACATACCTATAAATTATACGAGTCTACTCTATTTTGCAATTATTATTCTTTTTAGTAAAACCTTTACAAATAAATGTCACGTTTATTTGTGACTTTTTTTTATCATTTTATTATTTACTATCTTGTAATAATTATTTTAATAACTTGTTTTGCATTCAAAAAGTCATATACTACAATCATTTGACCTAATAAAACACACACAAACACACAAATACATTAACACACCAATATGTACATACGTACGTACATCGGCGCGTACGACCCACCCGACACATATCCTTTTCCCCGCACTTTCCTCCTCCTTTTACTTCTAACATCCTTTCTCTCTCTCTCTCTCTCTCTCTCTCTCTACGTATATATATACACACATATATATATAACAAATTCTCTCTCAGATGTCGGAACAAATAATGATGAACAGAAGCAGCAGTAGCAGTAGTGCATCTTCACCCTGCACCAGAAAATACTACTGCCTAAGACGAATCAAAGCCCTCCGCCTCAGTCCCCGCAGATTCTCCGTCCACCGCCTCCGCACCAAAATCTTCCGCCTTCTCCGCCGCTGGAAAAACTCCTACAACGCCGCTCTCCGACGACTCAGGAGATCTCTACCCTGCAACACAAAGGACTCCACCGCTGGCGCCGCCACCAACAACCAATTCCACGGAATCCGATCCATGAGACACTCCAATTCCTTCTGCTCCGAAGCCATCGCCGACTGCTTGGAGTTCATTAAACGGAATTCGATTTCCGCCGACGACGAACGGAAGCCGATGCTGTTGCTCCGGCACGATTAGGGTTCCGGTCGTACGGATTCGCCGCATCGGCTGTATATATACAGTTAGTTGATGGTTGGAGTGGAGCGCATACGTATTTTGTCGTGTAGTTTCCAGTTAGGTTAATTAATACTACTGTTACCGCTTCTGTGGATTTTCTTCGTTTTTCCGGCGACCGGCGACGACGCTGATTATTATTAGTATTGTTTTATTCTGTTGGGAAATTTTTAAGAACCGTCGGATAACGTTGAATTTGTATGGGCTAATCGTGGCCGTCCATCTGATGAAATCTGATGCGATGTGTTGGGGCCATCGTAACCGTCCAAATTCGAGTACCGGCGGCGGTTTGTTGGACGGTTCTTTGATCCACGTGTTGTTGGAATGTACGACGGAGGTTGGCAACCGGCTTTGCTATACGATTTTTTGATATATATTGTACTTACTTATTTATATTTTTTTATTTAATAATTTATTTTTTTTACTTATTTATACAAAAATTATGGTTTTTTTTTCTTTTGTTTTCAATATTGTTTTTGGATTCTGTAGATATATATATATATTTTAAATCAGAAAAAGTCAGAATATATACTTAGGATGTATTTTGGCTCAGTTTTGAAAAATTGAACCACACCGCTATTATTAATTTGCAGTAAACCATTTTAATTAAAAAATAGTGAAAATATTATATAAAAATTTTATTTAGAATTTTCCATTAAATATTAATTTAATTTGTATTAAATCAGAAAAACATGTATAGTAAAATTTGTGCTATTTTTTAAATAATAAAAAAACACACTCACACCATGACAATTCCGATCCTCTTAATCTAATTTAAGAATGAAATGATATTTGGCCAACTAAGGCATGTTTGTTGGGATGTTTGTTTTTTGGGGGCGGATTTTTAGTATACATTATTATTACTATTATACCAATAATAATAATAATTTTAAATTAAAAAATTATATAAAAAAATATTTAAATTCAAAATTTTACTATTAAAAACTATATCCCCAAACAAACAAACACACCCTAAGGAATCCTATGAAAGTTTTTAGTATGTGTTAATACAAATTTTCAATTTTATTTTTCCATGCACAATTTATAACATTTTCATGAATAATAATAATAAATTATTATGTTCAATGCTTATTTTTTATTCAATATACAATTTCTATTAAAAAAATAAATTCAAAATATTTGAAAATACAAACACTATTTGGTGATTTTTAAATGAAAGAGCATTTTATTGACATCTTTGGGTTTGGGTGTGTTTTCTATATATATATATTTCAAATAAAAAATAGTATTAGCCTATATGTTTCAATAAAATATATTATTTTTATCTTAAAATATTATAGCAAAATACTATTTCTACTAATCAAATAAAAAATCAACTTTAAACAAAAATTCAATCTCAAATAAAAAAATCAAACAAACCCTTTGAATGCATAGGGATAGGATCTGAAATTAAATTTCAAATTCTTAATTTTTTGGGAATCTTCTGACCATGCATTACTTAGAGATAATTTTCTAAAGAAGTAAATAATTCTCCCTATAGATTATATAATGGAACTAGCCACCCATCTAACTACGTACGTACACTATAAGCAATTAGCCACCTAAAGTTGGATCTACTACACAAGCTTGTTTATTATTCATCATTTATAATTCTATTTTTATTTATAACACTACGTATACCTAGCCTGCTAGCTAGCTAATTATATTGTTTTAGTATGTTGTAGTGGACTTGGACAATCTGAGTTCGACTAAGATATTATCCTCCACAGTTTTACAATATATTAATTAATTTAATTTAATTGTCTTGAAGTGAAATTCATGGATTTTGATTCAATTTTGTTGTTTTTATCATTTTAAATCAGAACCAACAATATATATGTACTTGATACAATTCAATTTTCAATAAAATGAAATTCTACGTGCATAGAACTAAAGCTTCGAATTCTGTTATCTCACCTATTTTATTTTTCAAAGTAGGTGTGAACTGTAAAAGGTGGTTTCAAGAAGAAAGACAGCATTTTAAAAACCAAAATGTAATACTAACAGATTGTGAGCCACCTAACCTGACCCATGCCATTTTGATGACCCCTTTAATAGATGGACTACTTAAACCGTGTAACACAAAATCATAATAATAATACTATATTTTAGATTTTGATGGAAAGAAAATAAGGGTTTGTTTCATTGTGTTTTGATGCAAGATTTTGAGTTAATTGTATGCTGTAATGTAGAAGATATTTGATGTGACTTAATATTTGATGTCACTTAACTTGGACCCATGATTTTTAATATCGTAAAAAACGTATCCTTCTTAGAAGAAATATGAGTTTTTTATTCAAGAAGGAGAAGGCAAGGCCCAAGTTACTAGCCCAAACTCAAAAAACACAAGAGGCCCAAATAATCACAAAAAAAAGAGGGAAATATAAATAAATAAATGGAAAAAGAAAGAGAGAAGATCATGTAAGAATTTGGGATTTTATCTTCATGCATTATATTTCTTTCTTGTAGTTTTTATTTCCAGTTCAACTCTCAATTCTCTGCAATCTTTTCACTTTCCTAATTTTATTTTCCTTTACTTTCACTTATTTAATTTTCATGATTTAATGATTTTTAATTTTCGTGTTGTGTGTTCTTGTTTCATTTTATTGTAAATTTTACATAACGTTTCTAAAATTAGAAATATATGTTATATTTTAGAAACATATGGATAATAAGGGAGTGTTTGTTTGATTTCTTTTGTTTGTATATAATTACAGATTCGATATATTGTATGTTTGGGCTTTGAGCTAATTTTAATTAGTTTTGATTAGGTTCATATTTACTTTGGATTATTTGATTTGTTTTTTTTTTTTTTTTCATTTTTATACAACTTTGTACAAATATTATTTTAATTTAGGCGTTTTTTTTGTTGTTGTTTTTTTTTTTTTTTTTATAAACATAGAGTATTCTTTTGCGAATACAATGTTATAATACAAAAAGTCCAACTTAATAGTGTAATAGTATTATGGTGCGACCATACGACACTTTTATAATTTTATTTTTTCTGCCAAAACCGGAAGTGAATGAGTCAGATATTCTTCTCCGCAGAGTCGCCACGTGTCCTTGAAGATTCCTCACAAAATCATTTCATCCAGCCCATGCAGAGAATAATACTAATACTAATAATAATAATAATAATAGTAATAATAAAGGCACATTTTCCAACTTCTTACGGAACGGGATTCTCAGGAAGAACGTCTCCAATATTTTTCGACCATCTACTCATTTGGAAGTGTTAAATTTGGCAATATTATTTTTTTTTTTATGTTAATATTAATTTGAATGTAATTTTTTATTTAAAAAAACAATGTATTTTATGCGGAAAAAAACAAGTGACTACTAGCCTCTCGTTTATCTCTAAAATTTAAAAAGAGAAATATAAAATTTATATTTAATATAGTAAACATGACATGACATAAAATTTATATAATCCATTATTATATTAAAAAAAAAACATAGGATCCTATTGTAAATGCATAAAAAATTTATATAATAAGAATATTATTTAAGTAAAAATATTTTATATTTAAAAGGTATTTTTTAAAAAAGGAAAATAATGGGATGAATATTATTTTAAAGGGTGAATAAATAAGAAAGAATAATAAGGGGGGGAATGTATGAATTTTAGTAATTAAAATGGAAAAAATAAAGAAAAAGAAAAAAGTGGCCACACCATCATTATTATGGCTATGCTTCTCTGTCTGTCTGTCTTCCTTATCTCTTTCACTTCACTTCACTGTGCTTCCCTCTCCTCTCTCATCCACTTCTTCAACGATCAATTCCCCAAAATTCGCAGAAAATTGAGTTTCGATTCGCCATTACTCTTACTTCACTCAATTCCTCAATTGCTGGATAATTTTCAGATAGTATAGGAAGAATTGCAGCTGTCATTTTCAGTTTTGGTGGCGGAAAATGAAGAGGGATCGCGGCGGCGGCGTCATCGCCGGCGATGGAAAGGTGCGGGCGGAGCAGCCGGACGAAGGAATGGACGAGCTTTTCGCCGTTCTAGGGTTTAAGGTGAAGTCGTCGGAGATGGCGGATGTGGCCGAGAAGCTCGAGATGGCGATGGGTTTGACTATGGAGGATGGGGCTTCGGCTCTCTGCTCCGACTCCGTTCATTATAACCCGTCGGATCTCTCTGGATGGGTCGGATCCATCCTCTCCGAGCTCAGCAGCTCCGGCCATGGAGTTTCAGGGGAGTTCTCTTCCTCCAATTTGATTAGCTTCTCCAATCCCGACGGCGGCGAGAATGGAGCCAAATTCATCCACGATGACGATTTGAGAGCGATTCCTCGGGGAGTGATCTTCGGTAGCAAGCAGAAGGATTCGAATTCGAATTCGATTTCGACTGGGGATTGCGAAAATGGAAAAGTAATAAAGAGGATGAAATCGAAAGACGGACCTGGATCTGAAGCTTTTCCCCGGCCGGTGGTTATGGTGGATTCTCAGGAAACCGGCGTGCGTCTGGTCCACGCGCTGATGGCCTGCGCGGAGGCGGTGCACCAGCAGAACATGAAGCTTGCCGACGCCTTGGTGAAGCACGTCGGAATATTGGCCGCCGCCCAAACCGGCGCTATGCGGAAAGTGGCGACCTATTTCGCGGAAGCATTGGCTCGGAAAATATACAACATTTGCCCCTCCGATGACCTCGATTCTTCGTTTTCCGACGTCCTCCAGTTCCATTTCTACGAAACGGCGCCGTATTTGAAGTTCGCTCACTTCACGGCGAACCAGGCCATCTTCGAAGCCTTCGCCGGAGCAGCTAGGGTTCACGTTATTGATTTCAATTTGAAGCAAGGAATGCAGTGGCCGGAGCTGATGCAGGCGCTCGCCGTCCGTCCGGAAGGTCCTCCGGCGTTCCGCCTCACCGGAATCGGTCCGCCGCAGGCGGACAACTCCGATGCGTTGCAGGAGGTCGGCTGGAAACTGGCTCAATTCGCGCAGACGATTGGGGTCGAATTCGAGTTCCGTGGTTTCGTGACGAATTCATTAGCGGATCTCGATGCGGATATTTTAGAGCTCCGGTCTAGCGCCTCGGAGGCGGTGGCCGTCAGCTCTGTGTTGGAGCTCCACCGCCTTCTGGCCTGCCCTGGCGCCATTGATAAGGTCCTGAGCTCCATCAAAGCGATGAACCCTAAAATCGTGACGGTTGTGGAGCAAGAGGCCAGTCATAACTCGGCCGGTTTCCTAGACCGGTTCAACGAGGCCTTGCACTATTACTCGACCATATTCGACTCTCTGGAGAGCGCCGGTCCGGAGCCGATCAACGGCCAGGATTTAGCGATGACGGAGGTGTATCTCGGCCGTCAGATATGCAACGTGGTGGCCTGCGATGGCTCCGATCGAGTCGAGCGTCACGAGACGCTGGCTCAGTGGCGAGCCCGGCTCAGAGCCGCCGGGTTCAGCCCGGCGCACCTCGGCTCCACAGCGTACAAGCGAGCCAGCATGTTGCTGGCTCACTTCACCGCCGGCGACGGCTACGGCGTGCAGGAGAACGACGGCTGTCTGATGCTCGGCTGGCATACGCGACCTCTAATCGCCACCTCGGCTTGGCGGGTAGCGGCGGCGCAGTAATAGTGAGTCAACTCGGCGCGCTGCGAGACGCTGACGGACGGACACAAACCTAACGTTGAGTCATATCGTGTCTCGTTACCATTCAGTTTTTACTTTTTATTTTCTTAAGTCAGCATTTTATTTTATTTTTTAATAATAATAATAGGTCTTGGGTATACTTGGTTCATTTTTATAGTAATACTTGTGTGTTTTATTTGTTTCTTTTGTGGTTTTTTTGGGTGTGTAGAGCAGAGGCGTGGGGAATAAAATAATTAGGTACAATGTGTAAATTTGTACTTTGTTTGAATAATAGAAATGTGCTTTTGTATATATATAGACATACATATATTTAAATAGACTTTTGAATCTGATACTCCAATTACATATTAAGAAACATAGGGTATGTGAAATTGATTTTTATTAAAATAATTTTGTGATATGATATTTTATTAAAATAAACAATATACTTTCTTTTTAAAAATCATATAGTATTGATTTGTATTTAAAATTATTATAACCAAACAAATTCATAGTATTTAAATGATAGTTTGTGTTATGTAGTATATGTGAAATAACAATTATATCTTTATTGAATTTATTTGTAATAGAATGATAATTGTGTAAATAAATTAGGTTTTGATTTATAGTAGAAGAAAAAATAATTACTAGTCTTTAACTTGGGTCAAAGGTTTATATATAAATTCTGTGAAATTTATAAAACATGTTATATATTTATATTATTAGCTTTTAAGGAAAACGGCTAATAAATATGGTAATAAATTTTGTATTAATGATACATGTTTGTATTTTTATGATTTTTTTTTATTATTTAAATTATGCATTTGTACGGATCACAAGCTAATAAAGATAATAATAATAAAAGAGTGGAAAGAATAGAGCATGAAGTGAAGTGGATTAATTATAGGAGAGAAATTAGTATTAATGAAAATTGGACAAGTGAGTGTAAGTGTGAGTGTGAGTGTGAGTGTGAGTGTGAGTGTGGGTCTACTCAAATATTATGAGTGAAACAATGAAAGCAATTGACCACACAAACACAATTGGTGCCACAACCCCAACCCACATCTTTAAATTACTATTTAAATCATTTTAACTCTTGGCAATGTAAATTATTGCTTAATTAAATATTGTAATTTTCTAATTAGAACATAGGCATAATAATATAATTTAATGATATATATATATATAATTTTACTTCTCATTGCCCAGTGTTGCCGGGGCCAATGTATCACACGTGGCCATTAGGTGTAATAGTTTGTCTTTTAAAAATAATAGACGAAAAAATTGAACCAAATTTTAAATACTAAAATTATAATTTGATCTAATTCGACCAAAAGAAAAATTGATTTTACAGAACAAGTGCTGTTTCTTGACCCACCCCTAGCCTCCATCAATTCATTTACGGTTATAAAATAAATGATAGGATGATGATGATGATGTGAATGATTAAAAAACAGTTAAAGATAGCGTCATCTTGTATCCAACTGAATTTGTTTGGTTTATTCTTGAAACTATTTTTTTACTGTATTTAATTTGCATGATTTTCAATAAAATATCAAATCAAATCAAATCAAAATATTATTTAAATAATTATTTTAAAAAAACATGTCACTATTATTAGTCATGTATGTGTATTCCAATTTATTTTGGTGAGGATAATGATGTTGAGCAAATTAATGCACGAATAGATGTATGGGTGTCAGTAGTAGTCGATGGGAAAAAAATATTTGGTAGGGTCCAAAGTGGATCTTTAACCCTAAAATCCAGCAGTTTTTATTTGACTACCAAAAAGCCATACTCATTATTTCATATCATACTCATACTCATGCATCTTATCATTTATTATGAGTTTGTTCTTCAATTATTTCTAAACACTAAAATCAACCCTTCATCTCGAATCATTTCAAATCACAACCAAACAAATTTTTATTAAAAAATCTTATCCAAGTAATTAATTTTTATCATGTATTATATTAGAAGATTCCTATTGGATAGTTAAGTATTGTGACATCATGTAGGTTTATTTTATTAGTGATTTTATTTAAGTTGAAGCCCTTTAGTTGTTGGAACAAATGTGTGTAATTTTACATTTTTATTTGAGAATACTTTACAAATGAATTATGTTTTGCAAAAAGTATACTTTTTTCGTCTGCAAAATTTATATAAGTTTTGTTGGACATAAGAATTAAAAAATAATACTCTCTTACTGTCACGCAGAAATACACTCATTTTCTTTGTACAACAAAAATATGTTCATTCTCTTTGTATTTGATAAGAAATGAGCGATTTTTGCATGACCGATAGTAATATTTTAATTTTAAAATAAGTGAAAAATAAAATAAAATATTATGATATTTGTATGAAAAAATTGTATAAAAAATAATTGTTTGTTAAATATATTTCAAACACACCCAACTATGGAGTTAGATCACTTTAGGTTGTGGTTGTTGTTCATACCTTTATATCTATTTTCATACTATTTAGTCTATACTAACATATTCTCAGTAAAAATATCTCACATACAATATATTTTTTACAAATTTATTCATGTATCTATGATTAATTATAAGTTATCATTACATGCCAAGCTAAATTTATAAGTTTGTAATCAAACATCATATATAAAAAAACACCCAATATATTAAGAAGATTGTATCCGAATGTCTCTGTATGTGTGGCTTTAAAGAGAGAGAGATGTCGAAAAATATCCATAGTGAATGAGCCAAGCTCCTAGCAATCGCATGGTATTCTCTCTCTCTCTCTCTCTCTCTCTCTCTCTCTCTCTCTCTCTCTCTCTATATATATATATATATATATATATAGCGGTGTAAAGTGAGTTAGGAAACATTCAAAGCTCGGACAGCACAAGAATAATTAATTATTGTAATTCTATATGGCTAATACATACATATGCATAGGTGTATATGTCCCAACGCACATGTACATGTAGGTGAGAACATGTATTTATAATGCAAAGGAGGAGTAGGGTGGGTGTGTGGGGTTGGGGTAGTGCGAATACATATATATATATATATATATATATATAAACTGCAATTGCAAATTTGCAATCCCATCACACACACACACACATACATACACACAAATAATAGACAAGACACAAAATGAAAGTGTCTTTTATTTATTTATTGTTGGTTGGGATGGATGGATGGATGGTCCAATTTACAAAGTAATAGGGAAACATATATAATTTCTTCATCTCAAGCCTTTGAGCTTTCAAAATTAATTATAATTGTGACAGACAAGACAATGATCCATGCTCTTCATCCCATTCCATTCATTATATTTATGGCACTCGTCCACTATAGTTTGTTGAATCACCAATTCACCATTCAGTCAATTTTGATATTTCCAAAAAAAAATTTGGAAGAGTTAATTAAATGCTTAAAGAACATTTGCAAGATTTAAACACTTTTGAACATAGATTTAGGTAAGAGAGTAAAAAAAATGACAACCCAGTAAAACAAATGTAAAACTATATATGGTAAAAATGCATAAATTACAACACACGTAGAAAAACAATTAAGAAGCCATTACTTGGAATTTTTTGATATAATATACAAACAAGACAATTAGTAAAACCATTTCTTGAAAAAAATTTTATAATAATATATTCAAACAAGACAATTAGTAAAACCATTTCTTGAAAAAAAATTTATAATAATATATACAAACAAGAGAATATGAAAATGCAATCTGTCCAAAAAAAAAAAAAGAAAAAAGGAAATTATTCTTTTTTATATAGACACTAAATATTGAGAGAGTTTCAATGCAGGAACAAATGATTTGTTTTATTTACAAAAATAGACATACGATATAAATATTCTTAAAGAATTATTAAAGTATTTGGAAAAAAAAAATTGAGAAATTAAAAAAGTTGAGGGAAACTGATGAAATATACAAATTAAAATGAAATTTGGTATGCTATTTTGAAACTTTAGGATAAGAATTTGAAAATTGGAAAAGATACCGATGGAATTTCAACAATTGAAAATAAGACTTAAAAGAACTTGAATTGAGAGACAAATAAATTTAGGATAGTTTGAAAATTTATGGGGATGAATAGTTTAAAATTATAAGAGAAGTTTTGAAAAAATATAAATTAAAGCAATGGAAGAATAATATAAAATTTTATAAAAATGATGATATAAAGATCAAGACACTATAGTTATCATAGAGCTCGTGTTCTTTAAGATTATAGTGTAACTCATCTCATGTCTTGTTTTAGCAGGAGCCAAGCTTGATCACCTAGGAACAAGTTCAGGAATAAATGCAAAAGTAAATTAATTCATAAGTTAAAGATGATCCGTAAATAGTACCTTAAAGCTATAACCTTGATCAACCAGAAATTGTCGCCTTCCGACTTGTTATATAAACATTTTTACAAAACATAAATAGAGAGAAACATAATCATACAATTTTATTGCTTAGATGCGTCTTAATTTCAGAGTTTTCTTTCAACCTCATCCACGTACACATAAAAAAAAAAAAAAGAAACAAATCAAAATAGCATTTAATATTAACAACAAACAAGTAAATAACAAGAAGTTCTTAAAAATACAGTATTAAAGTCGTTCGCAACTAAAAAAATTGTCATGTATGTAAACAAATAGAACTAAGCATGATAAAATATATTGAACAGAAAGTGAAATCTTCCAAGAAATTTTACATAACAAAAATGGCCGTGACACCAACAAGGAACCTAACCGGGGCTGGAACCTATTTATCACCACTAATCATGATACCTCTTCTCACCGTCAATACAATAGACAAAAGTAGCAAAATAACTTCATCATTTGATCAAGAATTAGGTCAAGAGAACTTGAAAGCATTGTTGAACAGTAAACCAAAATGAAAAAAGAATTTATGTATTGAAAATTGTCACAATTTCATTTTATGAAGATAAAATGCAGGGATTTTTTAGTTGAAAACAATTTTGGACAAAATAAAAACATGAAAATACACATTTAAAGATTTAGATTCTCCTTTTATTTTAAGGAATTATTTTTGGAATCACCCATCACCATTCTCGTAAGTTCTAATAAAAAACAAAAAATTTCACATTTTCTAACTATGGCACCACAAGTGTAATATGAGGTAAGAAAAAAATTAACAAAGAAGATTTGAAAAAGCACATTTAATGTTAAATTTCCCTCCACATGAATGGTTTATGGAATCACCTATCACAATTCTCGTCAATTCTAATGAAGAACCCCAAACTTTATATTTTCAACTATGATATCACAAGTGTAACATGAGGAAAGGAAAAATTTGTCAAAAAAGATTTGAAAAGACACATTT